ACAAAACGCTGTAACAAATTGGGAGCAGGGGAATATTTTTAGCATATATGACAGACTATACATCCTCAATATGTAAAGAACTGTTACAAATCAGAAAGGAAAAAATTAATCCTATTTTTTTTAAAGTTTACTCACACACACATAAACACGAATCAATTTTTAACTTTCCTAGTAATGCATATTAAGAGACCATGGGATAAAGTAGCCAAAATGAGAGAGGTTGTCACTGTGCAGGATTGACAAGTAGTAAGAACTGACACCTCGGTCATTGTCAATGTCCTTGGTAAATGTAACTGGGTACATTCTCTTTTGGAGAGTAGCCCGGGAGTAAGCATCAACTTTACAATGTGTGTTTGCTTTGACTAAGCAATTCTGCCTCTAGGAATTTATCCTAAGGAAATAATTGGGCAAGTGCACAAAGATACACATGGGTGCATGTTATAGAAGCATTGTTTGTAACGGTGAAAAATGGAAACAACCTCCCCAAATTTCCATACTCAGAAATGGACTTTATTCACTAAAAATAACAATGTCTAATCATATGTTTTTCAATATGGAAAGATAGCAATGAGATTGTTGTAAAAGGAAAAAGCAAATTTATTATAATTTCATAATAATTTTTAAAGAAAAAAGTGTATGTGTGCATATTTGTATGTATAAGAAAACATCTTGAAATATTTATATCAAAATATTCATAGTAGTCATCACCAGATAGTTAAATTACAAATTTTTACTTTTAAAAAAATGCTTCTCTGCATCGTCAAATTGTTTTCTCCAATAAGCATAAAATTTAAGAACCCACTAAAATAATGTGGTTATTTTTGTTTTGAAATACAATATTGTAGCAATAACAACTGAATTAAAATGCCTCCGCTAATCTCACAGTATCTACAAAATTTTTCTGTCAAATTTAATAAACATTTCTCTTTTTTATTGGAACCCAACTTTATTGTTACAACCAGTTTCTATTTAAAGAATAGAAATCTCTTCAAAATCTCCTTCGTTAAATAGACAGCAAAAAGCCTTATGAAACAGAAATAAAACAGTGCTGGGGGGTATGGCTTAAGTGGCAGAGTGCCTGTCTAGCAAGTGTGAGGCCTTGAATTCAAACCTCAGTACCACCTAATAATAAAGCCTACTTAAATTTAAGCAGAAAAACAGCCTCATTAAAAGTTCATGAACATGTAACAAAAATCTACTTGTATTTAAGCTGTTACATGAATGAAGCTGTTTTTAATTTTCACTGGCAATGCCATTTTATCTACTGAACCAGTTTTTTACTTAACAGTAGTAAAAATGTAAAAATTAAATTTTAAATGAAAATGTACAACCCCCCCAAAAAAAACCTAGGAAGTATCTCCATTAGCAGATTTGCAAATTCTCAGACACTAGATACTTTCTGAGGAATATCAAAATACCTCCATCAAAAGTCTCATTTATTTTAGAGGTATCACTACATTTCAGCACTGAGACTATTTGTAACACAGTATACACACAGTAGCATCAAACAGTATCCACTGAAGTGGATTTGGAGAAGACCACCACTGAGGAAAAAAATGTAAATACTCAGGATTCATAGAGTTCTGATCATGCAACAATTTAAACATAACTGATGATAACACAAGATTGAGAGATTCTCTACATCACCTGAACTGCACAATGTGCACATAAAATTTAAATTTGTATTTTTAAGTTATCATGAATTAGTAATATGATGAGGTTTCATTGTGATAATTCCATGCATGTGTATAGTGTACTTTGAAAAAGTTTACCCCCTCCAATGTATTGCCATTCCCCTTCCTTCTTTTCCCCTTTTTCCACCAGCTGTTATGCTGTCTTTATATAGATAAATGACAGATAGATAGATAGATGATAGATATTCCAGAGTTCTTTCCTCTCTCCCACCTACTTTGGTTAGGTGTCTGCCTTTCATATAAAAGAATATTTTTTGTAGAGATGTAAAAGAGGCTCTAGAGAAAACAGAAACTAATTTATTTAATCAAAGGTCATCTCAAACCCTTGTGTATGCTCATTACAGCATTTAAGTAACTGTAGGTGTGTAAAATCTGCTTACTCCCCTGTTGAGAGACCTTGTGTATGTTCTTCTTTTGTTTAACAAACATTCTTGGAGAACCTTCCATAGCCTGACATAGTGGAAAGGACTTCAAAGTAGAAATCAGAAAGCTTTCACTTCTGCTATCTTTTTAGCAACTGTGTGACCCTGGAGCCAGCAACTCTCAATTTTCCTTCTCCATAACACACTGTTAAGTATCCTTGATAGTCTCCCAAGCAACCTTGACCCAGAAGTCACTGAGATCGTCCAGCTGTTGGAAAACCACAGTGTCCACCACAATGTCGCTTCTGTGAGATGCAGGCTTAGTTCTGCAACTTTAATAGATGCAGAGATGAATAAGATAGGATCTCTCCCTGTGGAAAGACTTCCAGTCTGGTTCAGCAAACAGATCATCAGCAATACATAAAATAAAGCAAGGGAGGGAAGACAAAGAGCTATAATACAAACTGAATATTAAACTGTGGAGACTCAGGTTGCATTATGATGTTATCCATTTGACCAGTGTCATTATAGCAAACCTACTAGCCTTCTTGGGGATGGAAATGAAGATACGTTCTTTCATTAAATCTTTTAATTAGATGCAGGAACTTTTTACATATTGTTCATTTTTGAGGCACTCTTGCAAGTCAACATAAATAAAACTAAGTCTCCTGATTCCCAATACATTATGTCTAGAATTTCTCTCTAAAATGCTTATGTGGGCTGTTCTTTTCCATTCCTATGATTGTAAAAGAAGAAACATAACTTCATTTTTGCCTTTATAAACAAATCTTGACTTTAGCAAGCAGCAAAGAAAAGCAAATTAAAAGATCACAGTCTGTGAAATTCTCTGCCCCCAAAACCTCAACTGAGTATCAACATTCAAGAGGAAAACAACAGACCTAACATCACTAGCTTTCTACTGGTCTTGAATAAATCAGAAAGTGTCAAGTGAACTAGTGCTGTAAATGGGCTAGAGTTTAAAACATGGTCATCTGCACCTTTCATTTGTTATTTTATTTTAGATTAAGGCATCAGGGATAGGTATCATTTGGTACTGTGAAATATGGCAGCTATTCCAGTTAGAAATACATTTAGCTCTAGGTTACAACAGAAACAAGAAAAGACTGACCATAGCATAAACAAAAGGAAAGAGGCTTATTTGTCATTTATAACAAGCAGTCCTAGAATAAACAGTCCAGGGCTCATGAGCATTGTAACAAGGCCATCGGGGATCCAGGATCTTTCTACTTTTCTGCGCCACGATCTCAGCAGAGAGGTCTCCATCCTCATGCTTATTCCATTACTTGCACCAGATGAGTGCTGACCCAGAAGAGAGGAAGGAATGCCACAGGAACAATGGGCAAAGGGCATGGCAGTCAATTTCATTGGTCGCTCTTAAAAAGTTAAAGTAAAGCCAGATGAGTAAATCTGCCTAGCATCTTTCCCTTTAATTTCATTGGTGAACGCTCACTGCTGGACACATGGCCACACTGAGCCAATCTCCAGCAGACGACTTAGGAGAAAAGAGGCAGTGGCTGTTAGCTGGATTTGCCTATCCAAAAGGATCTGTCCACAATAGTAAATGACAAATAATTCAGGGTTCCTAGTCTACCCATAAATATTCACAGGTGCTAAACAAGAATTCTGTGATCAGCTTAATTGCCCCCATTCTGAACTTGATATTTAATTTGATATTTTATATACTTGATATTTTATATATTTCTTATCTTGTTTCTTTCTTGGTATCTTGGCACCTTAAAATATGTTACCATCAAAGAAGTTCTGGGAGTGCACTCTAGGCAGCCAGTTTCATGCTGACCTCACAGAGGTTAGGTACAGACATTGTAAAACCCAGCATTTCCTTGTTTCTGTGAGAATTATAAGGACACTATACCATCTCAAGGGAGGAATTTATAAGAAATACTGTAATGGTAGAAATGAGAAAGTTTTCGTGGCTCTGCGTCACTTGCAGTCCCTTCAGTCCTGTGCTGCTTTGCTCTATGGGGCTTTCTCTCACAGTGCCCAGGAGACAGGGTGCATCTTTAAAGCAAAAACAATTTAAAGGAAGCCTTGTTTTCTGCCTTGAATTACCTTCCTCTTAAAAGGTACTAAAAAGAGCATTTAACTCTTTCAGCTAAAATCAGCACTTATTTCTCCCAGGGGAAAAAAAAAGTTGGAAAACCTTTTTTGCCTTTTGTACCTGTAAATGCTTTTTGGTCTGTGTTGATTCCTCTTATTTTGCCATTGTTGCCAAAATTTGCATTCTAGAGTTTTATATTTTCTAGATTGTATACTGTATACTCTAATACATAACAGTAATCATGGTTTTATATGTTACATTTTGTAAAACTTGAAGTTAATGATTTATAAATTAACTATAAGCAATGTTTATTTCAATTTGCAATGTTTTTCTCCCCCAATCTTAGAGTAATAGAAAGACAAAGAGATGTGTATTGGATGAGAGCTTTGAAGTAAGGCAAAGCTGATTTCTCATTGAGTCCCTACCATTTACTAGCCCCATTTCCACATCTATTTAAAAGAAATAATTATTCCTATTACACACAGTTATCTAACAATGAAACTAAGGAAGATAATGTTGGTATTATACATCGCACAGAAATAGGACTTGACCTAAACTTGACAAATGATGGGTACCATTATTAATAGTAATGGAAAGGTTGTGGCATTTGCTATTTCCCAGCTGAATTTGCAAGACCAGCAGTATTGAATCTGACTTTTTCCTTCCTTTTACTGAACATTCTCCTAAGCAGAGATTGGAGCTCTTGTGTTTTATTTCTCTATTTATCATTCAAGTGCAAAATCTTAGTTTAAAAACTGTTCGTTAGAGTAAGTCATGGTGATGCACGCCTGTAACCCAGTAGTTTAATTCTTCCCTGATACATGCTTCTTAGAGTTTTCTAATGTGTACCTCTGTTTCTTTCAGTTTTACAGGAGATTCTAAACTTACCTCAAGTATGCGCTATGTGGAAACACAGTCAATGCAGATAGGAGCCTCCTATATGATTCAGTTCAGCCTGGTGATGGGATGTAGCCAGAAATACACTCCACACATGGACAACCAGGTGAAGCTGGAGTACTCAACTAACCATGGCCTTACCTGGCACCTTGTCCAAGAAGTAAGTATCTTTTCCCTAAAGCTGTGACTGGTAATGTCTTTCTTTTTAATGTGAAAGAATGTTAAATTCTAAAATAGTTACAATTCTAAACCACTAGATTTGGTTGAAAAGAAACTATTATTTGTAACAGAATTGACATCAAGTCAGCAGTGGATCACAAGGAGGCTACATTCTCCACTATCAAATAGCTGTCCTAACTCAACTAGCAAAAACGCTTTGTCTTCCTTATTATGCTTGTCTCTTTTCTTCAACAAAATCAGTGATAAAGGCAGAACAGGACTTGCCTGGAATTGAGGGGGGAAGGGAGCGGGGACAGGAGGGCAGGGGGGAGAAATGACCCAAACAATGTATGCACATGTGAATAAATGAATAATAATTTTAATAAAAGAGTAACTGGAAATAAAAACCTTCAAGACTAGGTACTGTCAGATGGTGTTTGGAAAATTATTTTTCTCTAGTTCTCTTCCCTATAAATGTGCCTCTTCTTTCCCTATAGCAGGGCTTTATTTGATCCTTCTCTAACTCTCTTCATCTGTAGGTAGACAATGTAAAGAATGTGGAATCTCTTAGCTGGGCGCTGGTGACTCAATCCTATAATCCTAGCTACTTGAGAGGTTGAGATAGGGAGGTTTGTGGTTCCAAAGCCAGTCCTGGCAAAAAGTTCCAAAGACCCCCTCTCAACCAATAGCTGGGTATTCTTGTGTGCATCTGTTATGTCAGCTTGCAGGAAGCATAAAGTAGGAGAGTCACAGTCCAGGCCATCCTAGGCAAAAAGCAAAACCCTGTCTCCAGTATAATCAGAGCAAAAAGGGTTGGGTGCATGGCTCAAGTAGTAGAGTACCTGCCTAGCAAGTATGAAGCCCTGAGTTCAAACCCCGGTACCACCAAAACAAAAGTGATATTTGACTTTAGAAACAAAAACAGAAATACAAGTGCAGTTTCTTAGAATAAAATTTACTTTTTTATGTGTACATTGGTAATTTGACATAGCAATAAATGTATAAATATCATAATGAAGAGAATAATTTTACCAAATAATAAAATTAACAGGTCAAAATGAATCCTAATCCCTTTGTGTTTATATATATAAGAATTGGGAGGCATTTAATTCCATCATAGTATCTCATTTGTAATTATTTCCCAAAGGTTTCAGCTTCACATCGTATCACCAACAGTTAAGGTCATGACGTTAGATTTTCTGAAGATTATTTTCACTTACAATGGCTGAGTAAACATGTTTCCCTTAGAGGAAAGCAAAGCTGACTTTGATTTTTGCATAACTCTCTTTCAGGAATGCCTTCCAAGTATGCCAAGTTGTCAGGAGTTTACATCAGCAAGTATTTATCATGCCAGTGAATTCACACAGTGGAGAAGAGTCATAGTACTTCTTCCCCAGAAAACTTGGTGAGAGATGATGTGTTTAGACATGGCTGTCACTTTAATTTTTATTATCTCCATTAGCATGACTTGAATATGAAGACACATTAACCACAATGGCAAGACACTTATTCATTCTTTCACTATCTAAAAGGCCCAGATCTTTCCTTTCTACTGAAGTTATTTGAAGAATAGAAATCATGAAAATTTGGATTCCCCATCCTAGCTTCTTCTGACCTCCATTTTTGCCCCAACTTTTACATGTGTGTGTTCAAGAACTCAATGAGCCAGTTCCTTTAGACTTGATGTACAAAAGGGAATGATACAGGAATATAGAAATTCAAGTAGTTTGGATTGCAAATTTGTTTTCATGCTGCAAAGACCTAATTTTTAATATCAGATGCTTAATTTACACTCTTTTCTCTAGTTATGTTTTTTCAGTAACCATAAAAATCATATTCCAGGAAGTAGAGGCCTCAGTAGATAAGGAAGAAAGAACAATTGATAATGTGAAAGAAAAAGAGCAATAGTTTTTCACAGATGACATTGTTTCATCTTAGGTTGATCAATCAAAGCAATGTGTATGGGGAGGGAGTAGAAAAGTAAGTACTAGTAAAGTAAGTACATAAAGCCCTGCATCACGATGAGCTTACCCAAAGAAAAGCCTTGGGCTAGAAATAAGAAGGCCTGAATTCTCAGATCAGCTCTGTTACCATGTGACCATTCACAGCTCTCCCAGGCCTATCCATTATAAATATAATGAAATGTTTTAATTACCTTAAAGATCCATCCTGGAATTCTAAGATTCTGCAACATGTTCTGAAGGAAAAGCGTAAAAGAGACAATTATTATGTTTTTCTGTGATGTCTGCCACTCAATATCCCTTTTGTGAAGAGAGTATTCAAATAAACCCTCCTCAGATTATTTTAAACAAAAGTTGGGCTCTTCACAAAAACAACTGGGCAGATAACAACCTGGAATTACTTTTCCACCATCAGTTGAAAATTGAATTATCGCATTATATGAATGCCTCCTTGATATTTTTAAGGATCATCATACGTCAGGTGGAACAAAATGCTTGAGATCTTAATTCCACAGATTTTTATGTCTAACTGTGAGCCATTTCTGAGATACTCCCTTGATGTTTATATAACAAGTTCTTACTTTTTCCCATATTCTACTTTTTTATGTCTACTGCTGGGAATACAATCAAGACTTTTATTTAATTCCATGGATATTCCAAGCATATATATCAATAAAGGCTTATACAAAACAACCATCAAACAATGTTTTTCTGGCTGCAAAGCTACTAAGGTTTTTGGGTTTTTTTTTTTTTTTCACTATTTCACAAGTATATATCTCATTTAAAAATTGTTCTTTATTCACTGATGCATGATCATAATTTCAAAATTATGATAGTAAGATAATATTGATAGTGTGTTTTAGAGATGACTTTTTTCTCTAAAAATATTATGACCCATTATTATTTATTGCAGTTCAGGCAATATTCAAATGGTATTTTTCTTATCAGAAAAACCTTTGCAGATTATTGTACACAGGAATTGTATGTTACACTATTATTTCTTAGCTCAAAATATAGCATCGCTGAATTGAAAGTTTCAGAAAAGGCTAATTCTCATTGGTGGTAATTAGGCAGTTAAAGGAAATATATATTGATCCTTAAACTGTAGAATCAACACAGTACTTACCATATACTAGGTTTGTTCATTAAATGTTGGGGAATTAAATTGAATTTTAATTCAGTGTGCCTCAGTGAACTGAAGAGATGTTTTATTTTAAAATACGTTATTTTACAAACAGAAAAAAATCTACTAGGCTGTTCCTATGACTATTTGCATTTAATCACATATAATAGTTTACTTCTGCTTTTCCAAATTTTCTTCAAAGCCCTGGAAAAAGAAAATGGAAATGTTTTTTTAAAAAACAAATAGCCTGGTAGAACATTTAGTTTGGCATTCTTTCTGACTAATATTTAAACTAACTTTTATTGCTGTATTTTTTAAAGTGTAAACTGGTTATTGTCATTGTTTTTGAATCTATAATGCTTAAAAGCTCTACTATAAAGACTACATTTATTCTCCTTGGCATTCTTGATGACTTAGTTTATCGTGTTCATTTCAAACTTTTGCAAATAACAATTTGGTTTGAATCAGTATTGCTTCTTTGGTCAAATCTTTGTCCTACTGTTTTGAATTGAGCATACACAAATTGAATGCATAAAAGCAAATGTGGTCCTTGCATTGTCAAAGATTTGTTAACTTTGGAAAATGTGCTAGATACAATAACTTTAGAGTAGAAATATCTAATGTATACACCTGCTCATAGAAATTATATTATATATGAAGTGAACATTTGTTACCCACTGAAAAATAATTTTATTTTTATGAGAGACATTTACATAAGAACAGAGCTTAATGAGACCTAAACAGCTGTCAGTCCCTGACTTCCTAAACAAATCAACACCTAATGACTGAATGAGTTTCAGAATGATTGGTTAAATCTAATTACAAGAACTCTAGAAGTGGGAAATCTGATTTAGTCAGCCTTACTTATCTTGAGTCCTCAGGTTACCTAACTATCAAGAGATGACTCAATACCATTTAATTTCAGTTTTGAAGTTTAGATGGGGAAAAAATAAAATAAACTCTAGTTTTGCTGCTTTGGGGATCCATACAGTTTGGATTTTAAATGCAAGTCAACTTTATTTCATGACCCACACGGCAATTGTTCCACATTCAGATCCAATCATAAGTTTACATGATCTTCCTAAGATTCCTAGTTGAGAGAAAGAGAATTGGCAAATTAAGTATTTGTATTGAGGGCAATACTCGGAATGATGTAGCTGCAAATCAGTGAGATCACACCTTGCCTTCCCATGTGTGACCAGCTGGAGATTGCTCACACGATTAATTGTTTTTCTCACTAAAAATGAAGCCAATACTCAACCTCTTTTTCCTGCCTTTACTCTTAATTAACATTAGCACACTAAACAGGATTGTATTTAAATGAATAGTCTACTTTAAATTTTTATCTTAAAGATGTATCTTTTATTAAGAGTTCATAATATATGTCTCAGGACTTATTTCCTTAGAAAAGGAGTTTAGAATGTATCTTCATGTGACAATGAAAAGCATAAAAAAACTGGAGATCAAGAACAGATTTTTGAGCCCTCCCACACTAAGAAGTAAAAAATAGCAAAGCTTCAAAATAATGTATGCCATAGGTTTTGTAAAGGCGTGTAACTGTAAAGAAAATAAAGTGTCACCTTGATCAACACTAGGGGAATACTTGAGAGCTGGAAGGAACTTTAGAAATCAGGTTGTCTAAATCCTTTATTTGAGAAGTGAGGAACTAGAGGCTCCTAAAGGCTTAAATTTCTCACTAAAGGTCACACGGATGGTAAATTGCAGAACCAGGGTCATGGGGGTCTTGTCCTATGACTCCTAGTACATTCTTCACTCCATTACCGACGTAAGTGAGAACAGGCTGCCTTTTCCTGACCTGTTCATCACTCATTGACTCAGTTTTTTAGTACACTCTTTTTGAGCACCTACTTTATTTTGTTCCTGTGTAAACTATTGAGACAAAAGGTATTCCTGTCTCCAGAAGAGTTCACAGTATAATCCCCGGTGGCTCTGAACATGACTCATATTATAATCAATCTTAAAAGAATAGAATCAACTCTCTTTTTCATGATGACAGTAGTGCATGAGTCTTATTTGATCCAATTCTGCGGGCTCTATGCTCTAAGATAATGTATCTACTTTAAAATAGGCTTTCCTAAAAACCATTTCTTAATGGAACTAAGAAAATTGTGATGGCTGTTTAATTACAAACATAAAGCTGTTATAGAGTTGCATCTGTCCCCTTGCATGTCCCATGAGGAGCACTGATAAGCAAGCAAACCTATGTCTACTGGAGGTACCTCAGTGAGCACTGGACTTACCCTACTAGGAATGAAAATGTAACCTATTAGCAACAGATCATTGGTAACATAAACAATAAAAGCTTAGTCTGGATTTGAACAGTCTGTTATGTACTTAGGGAGTACTTAATATGTGTAATTGATGCAGAAGACTTTAATGGATCATTCAGAACTGTAACAATCAAGTGTGTCTGAGAACATTGTGTTTAGGGATGGAACTGAGCACCCATAATAATTCTGTAAATTCTTTTTTTGTTATTTTGTTTAGCACTTTGACCAAAAAGAACTTATCACAGATCCCTGAAAATTCCTACAGGGGAGAGAAGTGTGCTGTAATTTTAAAAGAATGTTTTAAGGTTGTTAGTGATGGGAGCCATTTTGACTTGGCCTTCAAAATATCCTCTTTAGACTTCATATCTGGTTTCAGTGAATTGAGGCCTCCAGTGTTTCCCTATGTGTAATGAACTGTTCAAATCTTCATTTCCACAGAAGATCAGCTAAACCATGAAACTCAAGCAAATTAGTGTTTCAGAAATACAGAATTTAGCATGCAGATGTTCTTATTTATAATATAGTACATTGTAGTATGTCTTCTTGACTCCAAAATGATACCTCCAAATAAATTTTTGTTTTATAGTCTTCCAATAACTACTAGTATGTTTGTCCTATGAAGTTGTATTACTCTAGATTAAACATTTTAAATTTTCATCTGTGAAAATGTCCTCAATTTAGTAGATATCTTTTATTTTTGTAAATATCTTTTCTTACTTTATTTTTCCAGTGTCAAATCTGAGCAACAACTAAAATCTGGTATTTTCTTTCTTTAAAATGTCTCAAATAAATTAAGAATGAAGTATACCTAATATTGGCAGATTTTTTAAAAACTTTATTTGTGATAGAATTGTTGAATTGCACATTAACTGGGTGGAAATTAAACTAAAAATGATGAACAGCCAAATAGAAGTTAGAAAGACATTGAACTCTTGGCATTCTTTGTCTATGGCACCACATGTTGGTTGAAACAGTTTTTATTACTTACCTTGTTTCTAGGTCCAGTGCCACTCGCTTCCGTTGGAGTCAGAGCTATTACACAGCCCAGGATGAATGGGCTTTGGACAGCATTTACATTGGGCAGCAGTGCCCCAACATGTGCAGTGGGCATGGTTCGTGTGACCACGGCGTGTGCAGGTATGTGCTGCAGAGAGTGCATCCATTCCCTGCCTCTTGGGACTCATGTCTGTGGGCACAACACAGCAGCTATCATGAGTGAGTGCATAGACCGACACATAATGAAGTAGCCAAAAGAAAATGAGATTCCCTTCTGTTCTTGTTTTAGTTGTAAAAGATATTGTTACATTAAAATAGCATAAACCCATATATTCTTTTTTTGGTGTTGGCAGTACTGGGGTTTGAACTCAGGGATTGCTAGGCAGGTACTCTACCACCTGAGCCACACCTCCAGCCCTTTTTTTCTTTTAGTTGTTTTTCAGGTAGGGTCTTGCTGTTTTTGTTTTTGGGGGTTTGGGCCAATGGCCTGGCCTTAGACCATGATCCTCCTACCTATAGCCTCCTGCATAGCTGGGATAACACACCCAGTTTATTGATTGAGATAGGTCTAATAACTTTTGCCCAGGCTGGGCTTGAACCTCAATCTACCTGATCTCCACCTCCCGAGTAGCTGGGATCACATGCACAAGTCATAAAACCATGTGACATACCCAGCCTAAAACCATATATTCTAACCTTCAAAATCTAAACACAAGGACTTCTCAATGCAAATACAAGCAATGTTATGAAAAACAGGTCACACTAAGGGAAGATCACTAATGGGAAAGGAAGGGTAGAAGAAGGAAGTTAAGTAAGTAAATTTGGTTGATGTACTTTCTATACAAAAATGAATATAGAATTTTTAAACCTGTTGAAATCACCATAAGAAGGGGACTAAGGTAGAAAGGATAACAACAGAGAGGATGAGGCAATTTGGGTTATAATACATATATACATGAAAATATCACAATGAAACTCTCTATATAGCTATTTTATACAAATAAAAAGTGTCTTTTTCTAAAAACAGAGAACAGGAAAGTAAAACAGCTCCTGTCTGGGGAGTTGGTGCCAGTGGGAGGGGGAAGAATATAAGGAAAGGTGAAGGAGGGTGAATGTGGTGGAAATACCATGTACTCATGTAAGAAAATGGAAAAATGAGACCTGTTGAAACTATTCCAAGAATGGGGGGGCAGAAAAATGGATAAAGGAGAATGATAGAGGGAGTAAATTCATCTATAATATATTGTAAGAACTTTGGTAAATGTCAAAATGTGCTCCCAGAGCAACAATAACAAAGTGACAAAAAAGGCAAGACCTCCTGGGTTTAAATTTCAGTTTATTAAGAAGCCTTGAGCAAATAAAGTAATCTTAAACTGACAGGGACCAGTGTAGGAAGGTGACCAGGAAGTAGTGAAGAGGTCTGGTAGAGATGAACCAATTTGGATTGTAATACACATGTGTATGGAAGCAATGCTAGGAATTTCTCTGTATAGCTATCTTTATCTCAAACTAGCAAAATCACTGAATTTCTTATTATTCCTTATGTCTTCTCTTCAACAAAATTGGAGAAGAGGGCAGATCAGGGTCTGCCTGGAAGCAAGGGGGGTGGGAGAGAGAGGGAGGGGGCCGGGGCATGGGGGAGAGATGGCCCAATGTATGCACATATGAATAAATGAATAAACAGTAAAAAAGAAAGCCGTGCTATTATTTCCCTTTTCTGCCCCTGACAGTCTTGAAGCACTAGCCAAACACTGCTGCATGCTCTCCTATGCCATTTCACCTAAAACTCAAGGTTATAGACATGATTATCACTGATGAGGATGAGAAGCACACACTGAATAGTGAAATACTTTAAGTAAACATAATTCAGTCAGAAAGAGGAGATACAAAGCACGGCCACAGTTACATATCAGTTGGGCAAACATCTATACATGACTTTTTAAATTTACAGGAAAATCCCACTATGCCTCCCCCACCCCCATATACATATATGCACACACACACACATCTTTCTTCATTACTACTAATGTCTAAATTCTACCGTTTTAGCATGATGTCTTTTAAGCAATGATTCTATCTGTTTTGGGGAGCATGAAAAATTTAAGATCATTAGTACCACATCTCATACACAGATTAATTCTATACAGGAAAATCTAGTGTAAAGAATAGGTCCTGAGGAAAAGTGAGATGTGGGAAATGTCTTAGGCAGGACGGCCATTATGTTGCAAATGACTTGGTTATCATGTCCTGCTCTTTCATAGGTGTGACCAGAGATACCAAGGCACTGAGTGCCACCCAGAAACTGCACTTCCTTCCACAATTATGTCAGATTTTGAGAACCAGAACGGTTGGGAATCTGACTGGCAAGAAGTTATTGGGGGAGAAATCGTAAAGCCAGAACAAGGATGTGGGGTCATTTCTTCTGGATCATCTCTATATTTCAGCAAGGTATGACCAAGACGTGGGATGAGTCATCAAGACAGTGGGTAGTTTAACATGTGACTGGTTCACAGGGAAGTCTGAACTCCAAAGGCACAAATATGAAATGGTTTTCCTCATGTACCTTGCTTTGGACCAGAATATCCTATCACTACATCTTGGGAAACTCCCATAGTTTTATGATTGTTTTTGGTTACTGTAAATCCAGGTTAGGGTGATTTAAAATTCCTGGCCATCTTATACCTAATTTAAATCCCATTGCTTTCCTTTCTTCCAGTTCCAGGCAGGTTTGTGTCTTAGGGTCTTTGAATAAAGCAGGCTCTTGGTCTCTTCTCACTCTGCCCTTTGGAGCGTGTGAGCCCAAGGTGAGGAAAGAGAAAGGCTGGGAGTGGTGGAGCTTAGAGGTTAAGGGCAACAACTCTGAAACCAGACTGCAGGTTTCAGTCCCATTCTTCCTCTTCCCAGCTCTGTTACTGTGAGCACATTAATCCTCTGTGACTTAACCTCTTTATAAAGTGGGGACAATAAGAGAGTCCTCATAAGGGTTATTTTGTAGGTTAAATGAATTAACATGTGTCAGTCATATAGAAGAGTCTCTGACATATAGAAAGCACTTGGGTAAGTGTTTATTTGTCAATCTATTAATCTAAGGAATATGATTGGAGAAAGGAAGAATAATGTTAGGGATGGGGGTGCCCAGAGCTATTCCTAAAGGACTGTCCAGAAGTTCATGGTGAGCAGACATCTCAGGTCCTGTTCTCAATCAGTTTGGTGGTTGCTAGCAGTGTGTGCTGGTGTGTGGAGTCTGTGTGGAAGTTTTTCTTTCAGTGTTCAGCTTCCCTAGTGGTAGCACTAGATTAGGCATGCAGATTGGCAGACACCAACTAAGAACTGAGATTCCAGGTGGAATCATGAAGACTGATTCTCTTGGAATACCCCAAACCTATGTTGGTTGAGTAGGGATAACAGGGAGGGAACCTCCCATTCATCCTAGACAGGACATCCTTTTCCTTTCTGCTCCAATTCATCTCCCTTTTATACTCTTTAAAGGTATTTTTTAGGGGAGCATGTCCAGTCTCCAACCTGAGCAACATGTCTAACCCTAATTATTGGCAGCTGCCTTTAAAATGTGGAGTGCTTAATACCACTTCTTTCCAGAGTAGAATACAGTCCCCAATTCTGGGACAATAGGAAGTGTCTCACTTCACATCATATAACAAGTAGATAGGTGTAAATGATACACCATAGGGTTGATATGTTGCAGAATCTGTTTGGGCAAAAATCCAAGACACGTTGATTTATGCAAGTACAAAAATAGGTACAGGTTTTGTTTTGATGCAGGTGCAGAACAAAGAATTAGCAAGTAAACAAGACAGAAGATGATAGAAAATCAGGGATGGATTCCTTTTAACAATATTTCCTATCTATTGACACTGAAGATCCCCTGATAATTATTGTTAGAGATAATAGTCAATAAATGATACATATGCATTGCAGAGATATGGATATGCTATATAATTGTGCAGAGATGTGGAGGTTGTATTTCCTATAAATATCAATTTTAAAGTAAGATCATGAATCTTTCATCAATATGTACTGAAACACCCCAGTAAATATGTTGTGCATGAACACACACACACACACAGAGAGAGAGAGATTAATTTTAAATGTATAAAGGGTTTGGATTATGTATCGATATTCCTTCCACTCAATTCAATATAGTCTCTGGAGTCAGGCTACCTGAGTTTTTGAGTTTTGTGTACATTTCGAACTCATTTATTGATTCACCTTGCAAAGTTATAGCATCTCTGTATATCTCAGTTTCCTGTCTATAAAGTGGGATGTTGGGAATAATAACTGAATTAATGAGAATAAAAACAAAGAATAATTTTGGGGGCATAGAATAGCTCAGTAAGTGTTAACTATCATAATTACATTTTATGAGAATAAATTTCAAATTGGTAGCATTGAATATTTCACATATATGCCACGCCACTAACTTAAATCATCATTTCAAAGGTAAAATTATTCCATTTATCTTTCAATCCAGTTCTCCCCTATGAATTTTTGTCAAACTATCTCAAGGTCATTTTTTGGTGTTGTTTTTCCTCTTGTATGATTCAGATATGTTTAGAATTCTAAGTGGAAGAAGCCATCTTAAGCCAAAATAGGGGTTAACTGAGCCCATGCAATCAAAACACAAGGAAAACTTACATGGAATTTGCCCAGAGATATCAATAACTCAAATGCCCACAAAACTTTGTCCTTGAGAGTAGACTCTATTGTCAGTGGGAAACTGTCACCATGAGAATGATACCATAGCCACAGAACTGTCTAAGCACCTCCAGAGGGGAAAACAGGAAAGTTTTGGATTGGATTGGCAATCTCGGTGTCCTTAGAGTAATAGTGTAAAAGTGTACAATACTCTGACTGACAGAGCCAGGCTCATGTGCTTTTTAGTTTGATGGAGTGATGGAGTACACAGTTTGGAGTCCCCACCAGCAAGCATTTTGAAGTGGAGAACAAGTAGTAACTCAAAAGAAGGTTTTAGACCATTTACATACCATCCCATATTAATATATCTATAAACAAACTTCCATCCTTTCCGTCTGCTATCACAAATATTCAGTATTTGTGCTTTACTTGGATTCATTCTCCAAATAAGACGCTCCCATCATCTGAGGTTTTGCCAGTCTCTCTGCCTTTGCTCCAGCACCACTGCCCCTTTCCACCTTCTATCTTTTCTGCATTTACACATACATTTGGTGTGCTGCTCAAATGCTGATTTGCCTCTGAAGTTTTGGGGAGCTAGGGAAAACTGTACTAATCTCTGCTATTAGAATTCCTCTCATTTATACATATATTGATTGTGCCTTTATTCTGATCCTCACAGTACCTCACCAGCTGAGCCAAATCTAGATAAAGTGTTCAGCTCTGAAATGCACACTATGCTCTAGGCATTTACATATCACTAAAAGCTCTTAAGATTAAATAGATTTGAGAAATAATTAGTAATCATCTAATCAAAGGGGCCTCCACAAGTAATCAATCAGGACTTGATCTGCATCCCCCAATTATTATTACTGCCTCTGCCAAAGTCTGTGAATTCCTTTTGTGACTTTTATAACATGGTGTTCTGCCTTGCACAATTATTGAAGAAAGGAATGAATGAATGAATATAATTAAGAAAGGAAAAATTGGAAAACAAACAAATGGTTGTTTTCAGATAAAAATAATAGTGTTCTTTGTTTCTAATAGCATTTTTGATGTTTTAAATGGGAGGAAAAAGGTAAAGACTCATGAAGGTTTTGTATCAAAAACCTTCTTAAAGTATTACCTGTTAAGATTTCTTTTATTTTAGCTAAACCCTTAAAGTAGTAAACCATTTCAAACTAGGATTTAGTTTTCTTCTAAAAGTCCTTCCTGCAGTGATCCTGCAGGAAGAAATATTTCAAATTCAATTGCATAGCTTTTTCCACACACCAGGAATGAGATGTGTAACCTGTTACTCCTGCACAGGCACAACATATATTACCTAACATGCATATGTGTCTATAGCTACATGCATAAATCCACTGATCATAGTATAATAGAAAAACTGCAAAGCATCTGTTACATCACATTCTCAATTCTGACAAAAACTTTGTCATAAGTCATTTCCACTTTCTTTTTTTCTTCCTTTAAAACAATGTTCAGCATTTCAGGTCACTGTACAAAAGAAAGTGATTTGTGCTATTTTCTCTAGGATAAAAACATTGTTAGTGCCAAACTAAACATTTGTGTGATATTTTCCACCACTTATAAAAATCCTACAAAACACTTTATTCAAACCTCTGTAGATTGACACCATCATCTCCTCGAAAAACAACTCACTTTCACAATCACAGTAGACCATCATTCCAACCAGCTAATTGTGATAATTGGATTTTTTATAATTCTCCTCACCTTATATCTTTATCCTTCTGGCTCATTTCCACATGCCAAGTTTTTCATAGGCCTTTGCTAGATTGAAATTGACCCGCTAGGTTCTTAGTTTTCTTTTAAAAATCCCTCTTTCTGCAGTGATCCTGAGATATGAAAATCTTGGATCTCAGAGTTGTTTCTCACAGATTTCCAAATCAAAAGTAAGAAAAATTAAAAGCATTTGAAAATGCATATTACTTACAAGATTTCCTCCAATGCATACTTAAAGTTGAATGTTTTAAAGAATGAGTTTTTGCCTGAAAATTAACTTCCGTTCTTATTTTGTAGTTATCCTGGTTTTATTTTGGGATCTCTTAATTGGCTCTAGATCTGTCTCAAAAGCAATGTTCTCATCTAATTAGTCCCACATATTTCCCCCTGTGACTTCTAATAACTGAATCCCTTTCTTAATGAACTTTAATGGGTTAGAGTAGAGTTCACAGTAAAGTAGGAGTGTTTTTTGCTAGACTCTGTACTATCTCAGTTTTCCTTCCTGACTTCTAATTGAACCACTTGTGAGCTCTCCAAGATCAGTTCAAAGAAGTTAATGGATTAGCTTGGTGTTTGTTTAGGCGAAAAGTCTCATATTTAGCAAAACAACATTTACATACAACAAGAATGATGATGTCCTGGTCAGTCAGAATTGAACACCTCACAACAGTACTCTGGAAATTTTTAGTACTTGTAAGACAGAAAGAGACTGTTTAGTGGTGTAAAATTTTATTGAAATGATCCTCCCAGCCTCTGTATTTGAGAATGAGAGCAAGAGGCAGACAGAGTAGGAGCCCGAGAAACTAGAATACTCTCTTTTTGTCAAGAAGTTTCAGTCTTGCTGAATTCACTTTAATTCCCCAGGAGAGAAGGGCTGGGGGCATCTCTGGAGAGGATGTTCTCTCAGGAAGGCATGTGGTATGCTAGGCAATTTATATATCACATGTCACTTCAACTAATGTCACAACACCTTATGAGGAAGGTGTTATTACTCATGTGTACCTTTGAGGAAAATAAAAGCTCAGAAAGGTCACACAGCAAGTGAACAGTAAGAATAATAGGTTGAGATTAAAGCCCAGCTCCAGCTGATTTCAAGGTACATGGTCTTTCTTCTCCATTATTCTACTAGAAGGAGATTAACAAAGAAAGGATTGAGAGTGTTTTAATTAAAATTAATTTTGCTTCATTTTTTAAAAACATTCAAATACTCTGGTATGATGAGAAATTCCCAAGGGTCTCATAACTGAGCCTGGAGATCAGTGATGAAAAGGTTAAGCAAATGTATCTGGGAAGGAACAGGTACCATGCCAGAGCAGATACAACAGAATGGCACAACTTGTTCTTCTCAATAGTGACTAGGGATGAAACCACCTCCACATAGTGCTAGGATACTCCTGTGAATTTGAAGCTAAACAGTAAAATACCAAAGAGCTCCCGAATGACTAACTTTGTGATTTTTTTTTTTTTTTTTGTCCTTTGGAAAGGCTGGGAAAAGACAGTTGGTGAGCTGGGATCTGGATACTTCTTGGGTGGACTTTGTCCAGTTCTACATCCAAATAGGTGGAGAGAGTGCTGCGTGCAATAAGCCAGACAGCAGAGAGGAGGGCATCCTCCTTCAGTACAGCAACAATGGGGGCATCCAGTGGCATCTCCTGGCAGAGATGTACTTCTCAGACTTCAGCAAACCCAGGTAACTTCTCATATGAAGGACCATCCAGTGGTTTACCAGGAATAGTAAAGATTAAATTGTTGTTGAGGTATTTCTAAAATGTTGGCAGTTGTGAGAATAGACAAACCCATAAATATTTAGCATGAAGGATGGCTCAACATATGAAGATTTCATTTAAGCGAGTGGACAGAAACCACTTATATTTGTACTTAAATTTTTAGAGAATTTGAAAAACTAACTAGAAAACAAAAACAAGCTGGCCACTCTTCACCCAAAGAAACTCGGTGAAATGAGGGCAATCCAAGCTCTTTTTGCCATTTGTGGGTTTTTGGTTTTGTCTTTATACATACATAAAATGTGCTCAGTTCAATTTAAGTAAGACAGATCTTGGGTTAATAGTTTTCACATGGCTACACCTTTCTCTAGATACCAACCTATCCCTGTTTGTTTTGATAGATGGAGAATACATGTAGTAAAATGTCATAGGGAACAATTGTTAAAGAGTTTGGGGAAATGACTCATGTGTAATAGTAATACCTGTACCAGGCAATCACTGTATTTATGTGTATTTAAATTTTGTTCTTTTTCAATTACATCATACTTATAAATTCTGTTTATTTATATTTTATATAAATATCATTAAAAACTATACAAGGACACCACTTTTAAAGTATTTCTTTTTTATACTCTGTATTTCTACTTAAATGCAAAGACAAAATTCTTCATATGTTGACTTCCAATCGTTAAGTTTTAATATACTGTTATCCCTATTTTGTATATTACAATTGAGTCTTGTATTAAAATTATTATTGAAGATATACAGATCCAGTTCTTACAAATTGCATATATTTTAAACATGCTGCTTAAAATTTTACCTATTTTGTAGATTGAAAACTCATAAGATTATTGTTTTAAAAATTGGACCCCTTGAAGATGACATAACTTTCCATAATATAACACAACTATTTGCAGAAGCATTTTTCTAAGGGACATAGATAAGAGGCAGAAGCCAGAAGAGGAACTGGGTAAAACAAGAGACATACATGAGAGGGAAAGTCAGGAATGCTGGATGAGACGTGGCCTAGTGAGGTTCCCCAAGTTGCAGTACAATAGAGAGGAAATTTAAAATGGTGGCAAACTGACTTAAACAACAATTTAAAATAACACTAGTAATTTTTCCAGGTACTGTAATTGTCCAGCTGGAAACTTTTCAATAAAGTGACTAGACAACTATATAAACAAACAAAAATTCAGTGGCTTTCTTAAGTTCCAGAGACATTTAGGCTTTACAGAAATTGACCCAAAAGCTGTGAACCACCTCAGATACTACACAAAATATTTTGTCTTGCCAGGTGTGGTGGTACACACCTGTAATCCCCACATGTGGGAAGCTGAGGCAGGAAGACCACAAGTTCAATGATAGCCTGGTCTACATAGAACATTCTAAGCCTCTGGGCTTTTTTAAGACCCTATCTCAAAATACTGAAAAAAAAAGAAAAAAATTATTCCTGAGACTTTTTAAATGAAAGGCCAGAAAATTCATAGGTTCTCTCATAAAGACAATAAACTAGTTAAGAAACTCTGGTTGAAAGACCCTGCTCATGGTGGCAAATGCATAGGTAAATATAAGAATTGAGCAATACTGAAATATCTATGAAGAAAACTAGAAAACTTCAACATTTCTTTCAGAGATATGAAGGAACAAATAAATGGAAAAATAATACAGTATCCCTGAATGGGAAAACTAAATAGTTTAAATTTGGGGAAAAGAAATTAAAATATCATTTGTGTTATTGAAAATTATTATATAAAGCCTATCTAGTTAAAATGAAATGATAGTGGTATACAAATAGAATAAACAATAATGTGTGTAATAACTTACATATGAAAAAAGGCGTACCAACTATTAATGAAATAAATGGTTATTAATCAAGTAGTGCTAGGAAAACATGGATAGACATTTGGGGAAGATATCTATTTAGATTGTTACAATATGATCTTGGGAAAAGACCTAAACTTACTTAATACAAATTCAGTGGAAGAAAAAGACTACTTACACAGAAACGTGCCACCTGCGACTTATGTATATGTAACATGTATATGTCAAAGAGATGAAAAAGGCTGTGCACACTGGCTCATGCCTATAATCCCAACTACTCAAGAAGCAGAGATGACTGGGAGGCAGGGGGATCTTGGTTTGAAGCCAGCCCAGGCAAAAACCCATCTCAACCAAAAAAATCTGGGTGTGATGATGTGCACCTGTCATCCCAGCTATATGGGAAGCATAAATAGGAAGATCGTGATCCAGGCCCGCCTGAGGCATAAACACAAGACACTATTCAAAAAATAACTGAAGCAAAAAGGGCTGGTAGAGTGGCTCAAGTGGTAGAGCCACTTGCTAGTGCCTAGAAAGCAAGAGGCCCTGAATTCAAACCTCAGTACCACCAAAATAAAAATTGGGAGAGATGAAAAAAAATTGCAACAAATACAAGAAATAAAGGGTCAATCATTCTGTAAAGAAGTTACACAAATTATCAAGAAAAACACTAAATCCCATTAGAAAATGGATAAAAAGGAATGAGTAGATATTACAAAAGAGGAAGCACAGATGTTCAATAAAATATAAATATTCAACTTCCATTGCATAAAAGATACTGTTTTTTTAACAGTTGATATACCATTTTTAATGACAACACCAAGTGCTTTCTCCACATGGAAGCAGCAAGACAGGCTTTCTCACGTCATCCTGAAAACTATTATAAGGCTTCCAAAAAGGAATTTGGAAAATCAAGAACCTTAAACATGGCCAATTTATTTGACCCAGTAATTTCATTTCTAGGAATCTTGTGTAAAGAAATTAACTGAGGTATAGGTAAAGCTTTATTTTTTTATTTTTGTTCCGGATGGGGGTACATTGTGGCATTTACAAAAGTTCTTACAATATACCAAATATGTCATACTTGAATTCACCCCCTCTCCCACTCTCCTTTATCCTCCCTCCCCCCATTTCTGGAACAGTTTCAGTAGTTCTCATTTTTCCATTTACATACATGTGTACATAGTATTTGCACCATATTCACTCTCCTTCACCCTTTCCCCACCTCCTCTCCCTAGATCAAGCTTTGTACATAAGGATTCTCATAACAAAATTATTTATAAAAGGGAAAAGTGAAATAAATAATAGCATGTCTATGGGATGAAAAATTAAATAGACATTAAAGTGATCTTTATAATATTACTGACACGAGAATTGCTTAGGTACAACGTTAAGTATTAAAGCCCAGGATGTTAGGACTGGGGGGTGTAGCTCACGTGATAGAGCACTTACCAGTACTGCAAAAAAATAAAATAAGATAAAATGTAGAATGCCAAATTATACATGTATATATTATAGACTGTCATGATATACATCAAAATGATAACAGAGATCAACCCTATGTAGTATTTCATGGATGGTGTATGTTTTGTTTTCAATGCATGTTCATTTTTTTCCATAATAAATAAGAATTCCTTTGAATTTTTAAAAATACTATTTTAATGTAATGACTTACAAAGGAATAGGTTTTTCTTGGTATTTCTTTTAAAAGTTATGACTACTGTCATAAGAAGCCAGTGAAAACTCAGTTGAAGTATCTTCTCTTCTCCAAAAAATTCAGTTCCAAATGAAATAAACATCACAAGGAGCAAACATTCTTACATTAAACCTCTTGTCTGATCTGTACAAACTCAGAAACTTCAAAAATATCAAAAGATCAAACAAAACTAATCTTTCTCTTGTTACCCTCGTTATTTTACCAGCTGCTAAGAACAACACAGCTTTTCCTTTCCCAACTGAAATGATTTGCTTTTGTGCAGATTTGTCTATTTGGAGCTTCCAACTGCTGCTAAGACCTCTTGCACCAGGTTCCGCTGGTGGCAGCCCATGTTCTCAGGGGAGGACTATGACCAGTGGGCAGTCGATGACATCATCATTCTGTCAGAAAAGCAGAAGCAGGTTATCCCAGTGGTCAACCCAACTTTGCCCCAGGTATTTCTCATCTGTTGGAACTCCAAGAAACAGAATTGTAAAAGCAGATTAGATACGGAGCTGTTCACTTCCTTAAGTACTTAATTTTTGTTACCTCTTTAGGCTACTAGTTCATACATAGTTCAGATGTGAAAAAGCTTATGAAGTCTGCCAAGTCACCAAGAAAAATTGTTAGTGTGTTTAAAAAATAATTAGGTATGCAATTGCAAAATACCTTTGGTTGTTAAACTATCAGAAGGAAAACATGATTAGGTTTTTTTAAAGGTTAATTTAGAGGTTCTTCTATATTTTCCTAGAAATGTGAATGCCCAGCATGTCATGAACTGAAAATTGCTTTCTTGTGTTCAAAGCTATAAAATTGTCTTCCTGTTTCATTTGCATTGTTTCTATTAGAACTTCTATGAGAAGCCAGCTTTTGATTACCCTATGAATCAAATGAGTGTGTGGTTGACATTGGCTAATGAAGGAATGGTTAAAAATGAAACCTTCTGTGCTGCCACTCCATCAGCCATGGTATTTGGAAAATCAGATGGAGACCGATTTGCAGTAACTCGAGATCTGACCCTGAAGCCTGGATATGTGCTCCAGTTCAAGGTATTTATGCACGAACTTCTCTCAGAGAAACTTAAAGAAAAAAAATCATCCAGATTTATAAGTGAAACTGACAAAGGACATGTTTTCATTTGCTATTAAAGAAGGGACTCCCTTGAATGAAGGTTCCACAATCTTAAAATGACAAAGGTTTTTGACTCTACTCACAAGGGAAACAGTTTATCAGTTTTTAAGGAGTAAAAGTCTTCTATAATTGAAAATAAAATTCACTTTGAGGACTTCAATCTGATTATAACTTAATGAATTCCAGCTTCTGAATCATGCTGGATAAGTTCTCCTGTTTAGCTTACTTATGGTTATCAGACTTTCGAATTATTTTATGCTTTGACTGTAAGATTTTCAATTTCCCTTCCTTTAATTCAGTAAATTTTTACTCTGCCTACCATTGTTCTCATAAAAGCTTATTGTTTTTCAGCACTTTGATAACATATCAACATGTGTAGCAACTGTTTACCTTGACAACCTCTTGTCTCAAAACCCTAATCAAAATTTCATTGTGTTTATAATAAAATCCCATCAGTGAATTCTGAGGTAGAAAGTAATGCAGTTTTAATGAGCTATCACAACTACATGGTCCTTACATAACGGCAGGATGCAGATGCTAAGTAATTTACAAATGGAATTATTAAAGAGATCAGATGTTTATAGGCAGCTCTTCAAATATAATTTCCAAAGATCTGTAAACAAGGAAGTTAGTCATAAATAATATGATTATTAAAATGTTCTCCTTCCTTGTTTAGATTTTAATGTTAAATTACACTGAAAAAGCATTAGTAACAGTACCTGAATCTATATCCATTTGTTGGCAACAGTAAAAAAGGTAGCAAAATAACATTAATAGCAAATAGATCTTCGGAATACCTTGCTGTTTCTCATCTGACACCTTTTCTACTTAGTTACAAAATTATGGCAACATAGGCATTAGATTCTGCAAGGCAATAGTGTAAAGTTTTAAAAATCTAAATTGAAAAAGCATTTAAAAATATTTCAATACTTAATGGGAAAGAGGGTATAATGCTTAAGAAAAATCTTAGTTCTCACATCACAAGCAGAAAGCCATGAATTAATAATTAATGTATATTTGAAACCTATATATAGGAATTTGGTACCATTTCTATAAAAATGCACAGTGCTGGTGCATTTCTCTAACTGCTTGCCACTAGATGCTGCCAAGCATCTAGAAAATATGGCCTTAGCCCTTAAGGAGCTCAGAAACTAGAGAATGATTCAAAAAAGTAAACAGTCACAGTTCAGTCACAAGAATGCTGTAGCAGAAGTAGGCTCTGGATGGTATGAGAGTACCCTTCATAGTGCCTGACAGCACTAATTAAATAAATAGGAAAAAAGCCCAACAGTTAACAGCTATCAGGCTGGCAGAGTGGCTCAAGTGGTAGAGCACCTGCCTAGCAAGCATGAGGCCCTGAGTTCAAACCCAATACCACTGAAAGAACTAAAAAAAAAAAGTAAATAAAATAAAAAGAGCAAAACTATTAACAACTATAAAAAATGTAAGCTATAGCACCATTAAAATTCATTTATACATTTATTAAGTTTAGAAAGTTACTGTCCTAAACTATAGTAATACCAAATGTTGTAGTAAAACTGATTCATTTGAACCTAACTAGAACTAAATGAGCACATATAACTAGAAAATTTAAGTGTTTCTACATTCCAACTCAGTAAAACCACTCCTAAGGATTTATCTGGTGTTAACAACTCAACTGAAGAAAAAAAGATATATTTTTTGCTGTGCTCCTTGTGTTAAATAGGAAGAAGGAGGAGAGTTCTAGAAGTATGATAATGTCAACTGTACAACCAAAATATACACTCCCATCTGCAGAGCAAAAAATAAGAATAAAGATAGTGCTTGGTCAATGAGATTAGGTTGTATTTTTTACAATTTCTTTTTACCCCTGTTAATCCTAAGGTGATGATCCAGTACTCAAGTACATAGACCAATGGTAGTTTTATTTCTGGATTCTGTTGCTTAATTGAGACTGTGACAGAAATTTAACTCCCTCATCAGGTTAGCAATGAGTTTTTACTGAGCTTTAGCAAGAAAACAGAATAAAAATGCTTATTCCACAGAAACCAGAGGCCAGCCCTCTCTTCAGATGACCTTCATGTTCTGAAGAGAATGATTGCTTCTCCATCTTCTGCTTCCCTGTTTGTACTCTCTGGGAAAGATAGGGATGCAGCTTCTTAACTTCCTGTCTCTCCAGAACCACATATACTGTACTTCCCTCTTCAGTTGTATAAGCCCAAGTATCCTCTGATGGAGAGCTTGTCCAGCTTTTTGTTACAGCGTACCTGTTGCTTGCCAAAATAAAGAATTCCAGAATTTTTGCAAGGGTGTTGGTTGAGGTTTAGCCACACAGTTCTAATCACGGAAAACTTTATGCAGACTCAGTGGAAGGGCCCCTGGCTGCTATAGCACTTAATTGGTTGAATTACAACCTAGAACCAAACCTTACATATTTTTGTCCTTCCTTTTAACAGATAAACATAGGGTGTGCCAGTCAATTCAGCAGCACTGCCCCAGTTCTTCTTCAGTACTCCCATGATGCTGGAATGTCCTGGTTTCTGGTGAAAGAAGGCTGTTTCCCAGCTTCTGCAGGCAAAGGATGTGAAGGGAGCTCCAGAGAACTGAGTGAGCCCACCACGTACCATACAGGAGACTTCGAAGAGTGGACAAGAATCACCGTTGTTATTCCTAGGTCTCTCGCATCCAGGTAAAGTGGTCATTCTTATTGTATGACACAGCTGCCATTTCTTGAGAACATTTAACTCTCTCAATAAGTATAATTCACTTCTCAGTATCTTAAAAGACAGACATAGTCTGTCTGCTCCTATCTGAGTAGTGACTCTTAAGGAAAAGAGCCTTGGGATAAAATTTCCAAAATAACTGAGATAAATTCACTCACTCACTCATTAATTCATTCAGCAAAGATTTATTGAGTACCTCTCTGTGCCAAGTATTGTCTGGTTTCTGAGTGTACAGCACTGAACAAAAGATGCTAAAGGTTGAGAACTATAAGACATTGTATCAAACTATTGTTATATGTAAATTTTTAATGATTTAATATCTCCTTAAATAGACAAGTTGAGATATCTTGCAATATAAATGATACCATTAAATGGCTACTAAAACAAATAATAAAATAGTAGAAAGACCAAAAATCAATTGAATGATCATTTAGTTCTTATGGTTGAGTAAAAAAGATGAAAAGCAGACACATTCTGAATTTTTTTATAGATACCCTTTTCCCATGCTCTGTAGAATAAATTTATAGTACGTTTGTACCAGAAAGAGCAGGTAACACAGAGATCAGTATTTTTAACTCTATCACTTTAAAAAAGATAAAGAAACATTCTCCAAGTGGATACTTCCTAACTGAATCCTGGAACATAACATTAAGTGCGGCTTAGTCAAGGCATTTGGGCTCAGAGCTGAGATGATATATAAGAAATCTTTTTGCACTGCTTCCTGATGATGTAATATGTGGTTAGGATACTCATTAGCATTCAGCAATATTTCTGTTTTACTAGGAAACCGTTAAGGTTTGGCATGGCCTAATGAAATGTGAATAAACATGAAACACAAGACTTTTAGAGCCCATGTGTCTTCTTCCATGTTCCCTGCTTTATGAAATCATGTATTGAAATGGAGTCTACCTCAGTCTGGGCCCTGAATATCTACACTAAGTAGACTCCTTTGCCAACCTACACTGGCCATATAAACTAAGCAAGAAATAAGCTTTTGTTTGAAAGATTGGGAGTTATTTGTTATCACAGCATAACCTATCTCATTCTGACTGGTATAATGGGAAAAGCCTAGCAATCCATAAAAGTGGTTAATTTATAAGGTTGTTAGAGACCATCCTGTCTGGAACATCTTTCACCTAGTTGATCTACTAGATATATTGTGCATCATCTAGCTACATAAGCTACTGGTGTTCTCTGCTTCGATCATTACTTAGATGTGCAGACCCCAAAAAAATACACCTCAGCTGTTGGTAGGCAAACTCCCTGGATAAGAAAGTTACTTTTCAGGAGACTGAAATTGGAAGGATTGCGGTTCAAGCCTTGCCCAGGCAAATAGTTCAGAAGACCCCATCTCCAAATAACCAGAGAAGAATGGACTGTAGATATGGTTCAAGTGGTAGAGCACCTGCTTTGCAAGTGTGCAGCCCTGAGTTCAAACCCCAGTTCCACCAAAAAAAAAAAAAAACCAGAAAGGAATTTGTTTGATCAGAGCTGCAAAAGTTTCTGTGCTAGTCTGATAAACCTTGAAACATTATCTGTAAGTACCAACTATTTCAAGAAATAGCTATTTTAATCAGTAGATCCAAGTTGACTTATAAGTAATTTCTTTGTCTTTACATATCAGTGGTCTTTGAGTTTATCAAAGAGAAGCTCAAATGCTTTAGATATTTGATGTGTAGGTGGCAGAGTTGATGAGTCTAACACTTTAGTGTTGCAGTCTGCTTTAGTTAGAAAACAGATCCAACTACTGTAACAGAAATACACAAACATTTAACAAGGTTTAGACAAGCTCATTTATTCTTTCTTATATAACTAACAGTCCACAGGTGAGTAGCTCAGAGTTGACAGTTTGGCTCTGCCATCCTAAACGCATAACTGCCATCTTTAGATCCAAGGCATCTTTTCCAGAGCTTGTCATCTCTTAACCAGTAAAAGAAAAAGAGAGTTAAGGATGTACAGATGCATTACTTTTTAAATTCACCCTTCCTCTGTTTATATTCCTTAGAAGAACCTAGGATAATATTTTTGTATAGTTACCTATTGCCATGCAACACACCTCTCCAAAGCTTAGTGACTTAAAACAAGAATGATTTACTATCTCTAAAGGTTTGTGGGATTGCCTGGATAGTTCTGTGGTCTCATCAGGTAGCTTCATTCAATTGGTGTTGGTGAGTTGGTGTCTGGGGTCAGCTGAACCTTTCTCACTATGTATTTTTCAATTAACTTGTTCCAGAGTCCCAAAAGAACAAAGGTAGCTCAAGACCTTATCTTATTTGCCACATCTTATTGGTCAAAGCAAGTCATAAAAGCCAGTCAATACTCAGAAGATAGGGAAATAGACTCCTTCTTTTAGTGGTAAGGGCATAAAAGTCACATTAAAGAGGAACACGTGCAAAATGAGATGTGATTAACTGGAGGTCATTATTGTAACAATCCATCATTGTCTGTTCTAGCCCCAGTGACTTAAATCTCTCCCACATGGGATTTCACTGTCTTTTCCCAAGACCCTCTAAAGTGTTAACCCAGCACAGCTTCAGGCACTCACTCCTTGATCTGTACCAAGTCAGGATGTCTATGAAAACTACTTGTTTACCCTGCTTATCCCCAACACAAAACAGTAAGACACACACACAGAGAGAGAGAGAGAGAGAGTGAAGAAAAAGGGGAGGAAGGAAAAAAAATGGATTGGGAAGCACAGAGTAGTCACTGCCCCATAGGAATTCTGACAGGTAGCAAGAAGCTTGTTCTTGTTGCTCTGCCAAGAGCAATGTTCACAATAAGAAAGCTTCCTTGATTAAGATGTTTCTCCCTGAAAGTGATTCCCCTGATCCACTGTTCTTCTCAACTCTTGGCTCTGCCCTCTAGACTTCACCCTCTGAAATATCTTTCCTTCTCTGGGGACTTTATCTGTGTTTGCAGCTGAAGAGCCATCACATCTTTCTGCCCATCTCAAATAGTTCCTGTTACAGTGCAGCTCTGTACGTCCTACCTCTACCACTGCCTTCCTTCCCCCATGCTTTTCTGAAATCATATCCCAAATATATAGGTGTAGTTTCAGAACATCAAGTTCTTTGATGCAGTAACTAGAAAATATCAAGTGCTCGAAAACATCACTATAAAATCAGGAGCCTGGTAAAATCACATTGAGAAGAAAAAAAAATTTCCCTAGCATCATTAAGTGAGCCAATATTTCGAGGCTCCCAATGTATTGATATTTTCTTGAACTTCAGCTCTTGGAAGAAGATATCTTCTCCACTAGAATCTATCTTCCTGCTTAACTTGGATACCATCCAGCTTACTGATTGATGGCAGTTGTGATGAAGAGCCCTCTGCTAAGAGTAGTAAATATGTTGTTTTCCATCTGCAGTGTGTTAATCTCAAGATATCTCCAGTGTTCAAAAGCTGAGAATTCTAAGTGTTAAAATTGTTAAAATCTGGAGCTATTTTGCCACAAGGCAGAATACTTCTCATAGTTACTAGAACATTGCTCTTTCAAAATAATTCTGATTTTCTCAAAGGAGCAATTTTGTGCTCATATGAATTGACCTGGTTGTTGCCTACAGAGGAGAAACAGCGAGCAGACGCTTAGCAGAGTCTCATCCCGATGGTATGCAGCACAGTCTGCCCTAGGTTCCCAATGCAGAATGCAAAACATGGCTGTCTCTGGACAGGGGTAGAAACACAATCACTTGGTATTCTGATGAATGTCTTTACCATCGGCCATCACCTGTGTACCTCTACACAGAACAAGCAGATACACAGGAACCTTGCTGGTTTGAGAGGCAGATGTAACTTCTATGAATTATATAGTGGTGGATATAGAAACCGGTTCTCCTGGTCATGCAAATGTCCTCCAAACACAGATGCAAATTGTGAAAGAGGACAAAGAAATAAGAGTCTTTACTTCTTGCTTATCTGAAACATACAATACAAAGGGAAAGTTTTGTTGAACCATTTCAGTAGCTAATCACACTCTGATTTTTTTTTCTTTTATTATTCATATGTGCATAAAAGGCTTGGGTCATTTCTCCCCCCTGCCCCCACCCCCTCCCTTACCACCCAATCCGCCCCCTCCCTCTCCCCCCAATACCCAGCAGAAACTATTTTGCCCTTATTTCTAATTTTGTTGTAGAGAGAGTATAAGCAATAATAGGAAGGGACAAGGGTTTTTGCTGGTTGAGATAAGGATAGCTATACAGGGTATTGACTCACAATGATTTCCTGTGCATGGGTGTTACCTTCTAGGTTAATTCTTCTTGATCTAACCTTTTCTCTAGTTCCTGGTCCCCTTTTCCTACTGGCCTCAGTTGCTTTTAAGGTATCTGCTTTAGTTTCTCTGCGTTAAGGGCAACAAATGCTAGCTAGTTTTTTAGGTGTCTTACCTATCCTCACCCCTCCCTTGTGTGCTCTCGCTTTTATCATGTGATCAAAGTCCAATCCCATTGTTGTGTTTGCCCTTGATCTAATGTCCACATATGAGGGAGAACATACGATTTTTGGTCTTTTGGGCCAGGCTAACCTCACTCAGAATGATGTTCTCCAATTCCATCCATTTACCAGCGAATGATAACATTTCGTTCTTCTTCATGGCTGCATAAAATTCCATTGTGTATAGATACCACATTTTCTTTTTTTTTTTTTCATTTTTCTTTTATTATTCATATGTGCATACAAGGCTTGGTTCATTTCTCCCCCCTGCCCCCACCCCCTCCCTTACCACCCACTCCACCCCCTCCCGCTCCCCCCCTCAATACCCAGCAGAAACTATTTTGCCCTTATCTCTAATTTTGTTGTAGAGAGAGTATAAGCAATAATAGGAAGGAACAAGGGTTTTTGCTGGTTGAGATAAGGATAGCTATACAGGGCATTGACTCACATTGATTTCCTGTGCGTGGGTGTTACCTTCTAGGTTAATTCTTTTTGATCTAACCTTTTCTCTAGTTCCTGGTCCCCTTTTCCTATTGGCCTCAGTTGCTTTAAGGTATCTGCTTTAGTTTCTCTGCATTAAGGGCAACAAATGCTAGCTAGTTTTTTAGGTGTCTTACCTATCCTCACCCCTCCCTTGTGTGCTCTCGCTTTTATCATGTGCTCATAGTCCAATCCCCTTGCTGTGTTTGCCCTTGATCTAATGTCCACATATGAGGGAGAACATACGATTTTTGGTCTTTTGGCCAGGCTAACCTCACTCAGAATGATGTTCTCCAATTCCATCCATTTACCAGCGAATGATAACATTTCGTTCTTCTTCATGGCTGCATAAAATTCCATTGTGTATAGATACCACATTTTCTTAATCCATTCGTCAGTGCTGGGGCATCTTGGCTGTTTCCATAACTTGGCTATTGTGAATAGTGCCGCAATAAACATGGATGTGCAGGTGCCTCTGGAGTAACAGTCTTTTGGGTATATCCCCAAGAGTGGTATTGCTGGATCAAATGGTAGATCAATGTCCAGCTTTTTAAGTAGCCTCCAAATTTTTTTCCAGAGAGATACCACATTTTCTTAATCCATTCGTCAGTGCTGGGGCATCTTGGCTGTTTCCATAACTTGGCTAGTGTGAATAGTGCCGCAATAAACATGGGTGTGCAGGTGCCTCTGGAGTAACCTGTGTCACAGTCTTTTGGGTATATCCCCAAGCACACTCTGATTTTTTGCAGTAAAATTACAGAAGCTTTAACTCTGTCTTTCTCCACAATCATCACTTCCTCCTAATCACTTCCTCCTCAGACTATCCTGACTCTCAAGTCAAAGATCTCTATTCCATGTTCTTCTAACTTGATGTTCTTCTTAACAATGGTTACCAGGACTACACGTGCACATACCTTTGGGCGTTTGCTTAATAAATATGTCTACCCATTCAGCAGTGGGCTACATAAAGACAGGAACTACTTCTGGGCTTCGCTCCCCCATGGTGTGTACTCAGCTCTAGCACTGGCCTGCCAGGTTGCAGGTGCTTGCTAAATGTTGATTGAATGAAAAGATATTGAAAGATCAAGAATGATCAGAGACAGGTGATTAACTACAATTAAAACACCTTTCTTTTTATGTGTTTTCTAAAATAAATTTAATAATGTTTAGCAAAAAATCATTGTTCTGAACCCTACTGTGTCTCCTTGAAAAAAAGCAAGAATAGCACATGTGGGCTGGCAGAGTGGCTCAAGTAGTAGAGCACCTGCCTAACACGCAGGAGACCCTGAGTTCAAATCCAAGTACTGCAAAAAAAAAGAATAACACATGTGCACAAATGCATTAATAATATTAATAACCATTAGGCTATTATCTCCTCTATTTTAAAAAATGTGGAATCTAGACATACATACTGTCTTAATTTTGGTCTACTTATTTCCTCCCTGCTTTGGATCGTCTCTTTCTGAGTGGTTTTTTAATGGATTCTTTATGAGTTCTCTTCTTCCAGCAACTTTGAGGTTGCTAAATTACTTATATTCAACCCCAAGGTTGTGCCACTGAGAAGAGAAGAGGGTAGCAGCAGGCATCAGGAAGCAGACACAACTTGGAGAAACGCGAATGAAGCAAAACTTGCCTACAACATGGCCAGTGAAATCTTTGCTAGTTTCATTTGTACCTTCCCACTAAAGGTAGCTCCTCTGTTCATCGGCAGTTATTAGAGTTGAGTGGCAGCCCAGCTAGTTACCAAGAGACCACAGAATGAGCATCTTGGAATTTAAAGAGGAAAGATGAGAAGGAAGGGAAGGAAGTCACAGGTGGAAGAGAAGCTGTGTATACAAATGTAACTTCCCTGCCGGATCATGTAAATTGCCAGTGTCCCCTTATACATCCTAACAAAGAACATCCTATTTAATCGTTTCAAACATTCCAAAATAATTCTTCTGAAAATATCCATAAAATTATCATGATGGAAGGGTGAAATATTAAGTAAAAGAAAGTATCTTCTCTGGTTTTTATTTATTATAAAAAGGGTGGAAAAATACATAAAAACCTATCATGTATTTCTGGCCATCAGAAGCCTTCTATAATAAAAAATAAGTTTTCTATACCTGATATCCTCCTGGAATTAAGCATTTGTGCTGAAGAAGAAACCCAGAAGGTTTGAGAAAGATCTTCTGCAGGTTAAATGTGCGGTCAAGAGGACATGACATAAAAATAAATATTGAATCTCTCTTAAGTTTCTTTTTAAAATCTTTCCAGTGCTTTGGTGTGGGATGTGGGTATAACAAACAGGTATATTTTCCTCAACAGCAAGACTAGATTCCGGTGGATCCAGGAAAGCAGCTCACAGAAGAACGTGCCTCCGTTTGGTTTGGATGGAGTGTACATATCTGAGCCTTGCCCTAGTTACTGCAATGGCCACGGGGACTGCATCTCAGGCGTGTGTTTCTGTGACCTGGGGTACACTGGTAAGGCTGCATGAGTGTCTCATGGTTTGCTTGTAAAATGTTCATCTCTAATTACTGTATTTCATGTTATTCTTTCAACAAAATAGATTCTGAGTTTATTCTTCATTAAGTCTAAGAATGGTAGGAATTTGTCACCCAAGCATATGAGGTGCTAAGATAGTTTGTAGTTTTAAGCTGCCTAAGGAAGAAAATACGGTAACACAAATTTCACTCTCCAAAGAGGATTTATTATTAACAGCAAGTGCAGAGAACATTGCTCAAGGCCTTTACATGCCAGGCAGTAAAGGAAGTGGGTTTTTTTACTCCATTTTTAGCATCTGTTTGTTGAATCTTTTATTTTTAGCTTTTCTTTTTAACATTTTTTTCTCTTTTATTAATTGTACAAAATAATGAGTTTCATTATGAAATTTTCATATATACACACTGCATACTTCAATTGTATTCACCCTCCAGTCACGCTTTCTTTTTTTTTTTTATGACTGAACTATGGTTTGAACTCAGGGCTCACACTTGCTAGGCAGGTGTTCTATCACTTGAGTCACTCCAGCCCCCATCACACTCTCATGTCTCCCCATCAGCATCCCCCTTTTAAAAAATGTGGGTTCTGCATAAAGTAAGCATTTTTATTTCCTCCCATTTAATTCTAATATAATCCTGTGCTATAGCACTGTAAACCCTATTTACATTTGAGGAAACTGAGGCACTCTCCTGAGGTCACACAACTAGGAATTGCTGGAAATGGGCTTCAAAGTAGACTACAGGGACTACCTGAGCTCTTCACCCTGCTTTTTATAAAATATGAAATGTAATACATTTCATAATACATTTAAGTAAAAATGCAACATAAAATAATAAATCCAAGATTACCAAAAAGAGACCTTTATGAGAATATTTTCTAACCAAATCACCTTTGGATATTATCATCAGCAAAAATGAAAAGGGAGCTGAGATTAAAGAGTAAAATTGAGAAAATATTTTAAGCTTCAAAATCTTTTCTTAATTTTTTCCTGGAGGCATCTTTAAGAGGCTTTTGCCCAAATTGTTAGTGGTCTGGCTTTCATCTGGCCATAACCACAGTTTTCACTGTTGCAGGTCTTCTGTGAGAGAGCTGTCACTTACAGTTTCAGGGGTATTTTTTTTAATTGAGGACTGATTTCCCTTGTTGATCCTCTAATAGGACAATAAATGAACAAATTTCATTCTGGACAAAACCTGCTTCTCAGTTTGTACAAGCCTTTGGAGTAGAAACAACTATGGAAATGCAATATTCCCAATGTCTCTCTTTATTTTAAAAAAATGAAAAAAGGCAGAATGGCATTTTTGATAATAATAATGGCTGTCTTTCGGAAAGAATATTGTGAGATACAAATTCTTTCATGCCATGTGTTGAATATACCTTTAATATTTGGTGATTCCAACAAAGCATCTCTGCTATGTATTTCTTTTCTTTGAAGCTGCACAAGGAACCTGTGTGTCAAATGTACCTAATCACAGTGAGATGTTCGATAGGTTTGAAGGGAAGCTCAGCCCTCTATGGTACAAGATAACTGGTGGTCAGGTTGGAAATGGCTGTGGAACTCTTAGTGATGGCAAGTCCCTCTACTTCAATGGCCCTGGGAAAAGGGAGGCAAGGACTGTCCCCCTGGACACCAGAAGTATTAGGTAAGTTATTAATTGGTTCACTTCTCCATGAACATAATATTGACCATACCATGTGGTCTAACAGAACATTCTGTTGAGTTACTGAGAGTGTATTAAATTTCTGACTATAGATTATGATGTGTAAAAATGAATCATAACTTTAGCTCTATGTTGAAATTGGTGGTTACATCAAAAATCATACCACAATTCACCAGTCAACATACAGTCATCACCAAAGCCCAAATGTCTAGTGCATATTCAGCATGGTTTTCTTTAGAAAAATCTTTGATATTATTCTTAATGTATGCTGATGAAACTTTTTTCCAACTTTAAACTATACATCTCAAAATTATGCATCTTCGTCTAAGCTTATTTGTAGACACTTACTGAAAACGGCCCCAGTTTGAAAACTGTTCCCTCTCTCCTTGTCCTGAATTCTGCCCTCTATACCTACACTACCACCTACTGATAAAATAAAGAGCTGTTTGGTTTGGGGTTTTTTGTTGTGGTGGTGGTTGTTGTTTTTAAGGTCAAAGGAAATAGTAACGCATCTAAAATAAAATTGTGGAGCTTTTTGTTGTTATTGGATTTTGAGCAATTAAATTATTTGGAGCACTGTAAATTTTTAGCCTTTATCCTTATCCTCACTAAAATATGGGTTCCCTTTCTTATTTTTTCTGCGTCAGTCTCTTTCTCTTTCCTTCATCCTTTTCTCAAAGATGTGCCTGTCTGGCAGGTGGTCTCTGCTGGTTACCATGGATGGAGGCATAATTTACATCCCACTGAGTCAGTTCTGAAAAACTTAGTTAGCTCAGTCTAAGTTGGTAAAAGGTAGGCAATTATCTAGCCCTAAACAAATATAGTGTTCAACTTCTTAGATTTTTTTTCCACATCTTGAATTTGCAAGGATGACTTTATCTGGACTTAGGGAATTTCTCATTAAATTATATCAGATCGTCACAATGAAGCAGGGTTAGATTGTTTAGAAAAAATTAATTTTAATATCAATAACTTTTTCTAAATGTTTGTAGAATTAACTTACTGTAATCTATATAATTTCTGCACATCATTTGCTCTTTGAGTTTAAGAGTCCTTCAGAAGTAGGGTAGGTTTTTTTCCTTTCTATGTCAAAATCATATGGTTAAAGTTGTTCTGAACTCACCTATTTGTAACTAAACTAAAGTTCTTTTCCCCAGACTTGTTCAGTTTTATATACAAATTGGAAGCAAAACTTCAGGTATTACCTGCATCAAGCCGAGGGCTAGAAATGAAGGTAAGCTGATGTATTTCCATATAAATTACATCCACGACTGACAAATTAATCCTTTTTCCTCCCACAGTTTGGCCTTATTTTTGTCTGAGCTTTCTCCTGCAGATCCTTTACCCTGAAAAATATCATGACTGCTCTGGGTGTGAGCAGAGTGCGTGCATTCATTTTAGGACACTATATTTCTTTATAATCCTCTGCAGGGAGAGGAAAAACAATAACAGAGACTTTCGCATTCAGTGTGAGAACTAAACTTCTTTGCATAGGGAATTACTGAATGTAGATAAAACTCTACTTCTACCCCTGAATATTCTGGGAGGACTAGAGTTCTTATGTAGAAGGAACAGTTATTGGTAACAAAAAAATGTTAACTTATACTGAGCACCTATTACATGCAAGGCACTGTGTCCAAGTGTTTTACCGGTGCTAATTCATTTCGTCTCCATGGTATCCTTTTGCTATGGGCACTATTATTAGAACTAATTTACAGATGTAGAAACTGAGGCACAGAGACATCCAGTAGCTTGTTCATAGTTAATATAGTAAGTGCATGAGCAAAGACTTAAACCTCTCACACTGGCCCCAGAATGTATACCTTAGTAATCATGCTTACACATCTTCTCTCCTTGCCCGTAACTCCACCCTTGCTACGTGCCCATATCATCTGACTCAAATGACTCGGTTCTGAAAGAAATACAAAGGCCTTGAAACACAGGTGGCCCCGAGGAGCTCTGCTGATATGACAGGGTCCTTCAGAGACCCTCCATGTGAGTTGGTTCCTAGTACGTGAGCTCCTCAGATATATCTTTCTCCAAACCTTGGTCTTAAAAATAAATGTGAAGAATTTTTCATAGGCCATTTTGTATTCCTTAATCTCTTCTGTAGATATTTATCTGTTCTAAGCCAAATGGATACAGTGTCACTAAAAGACAGATGCATCAGTCATGATGAGCTAGTTTATGCTGCAATAACAAATAACTCTCTAAATATCAGTGCATTCAACTACCACCACCATGGTGTCCTCTAGGTGCTGGCCCACCACCACACAGCACAGTTCCTTTCACAGGCTGCTTTGAAGGGCCTTGTGATCTGAGGTGTGGTGCCAACTTCTGCTGTAAGAATGTTGGTGGATTTGTGTCTCAAATCAGACAAGAGAAGTCTACTTAAAGAGCAAATGCCATCTTCTGGCTCCTTCAAATATGGGAACCAGTTAAGAAACCAGAGCATTCCTTTTTATTGAAAAAAAATCCATTTGTTATCAGGTTGTTTCAGTTGTATTGAATGCCCAATCTGCTAAAGCAAAAAGAACTAGGCTACTGTGTGCATTTCCATCAGAGAAGAGAGTTGCATTTGTGTTGATATGAAATTTGTATTCCTGTGCTTCAGCTAATCCCTAATTACCCAAAGATTTGGCATCCACCAAATTTCAATTTGTTTCTAACATTGTTCATTTTAGTGCACTTTGTTATGTAATAAAGTATGCCTGTTATATTAAATAATAAGAATATGGCAATTAGAGATAGAGTGTACCAAAACAAAGATGTTCTAGATATATTCTTTGATGAAGACTATCCCATGTTTATCTTATTGAATCGAAACACTTTTTCCTGTGGATATTTTCCCATCCTAAAAAAAATGACACCCAAAGAGAATATTTAGATGCAACTTACTAGAATGATGTGAAAGAAATGGTAATTCTGATACCAAGGTGTTTATTTTCTTTCTTATAATGCAGAGAAAATATCCTGACAAAAAAAATCATTTTTTGGATTCCTTTCTTTTACAATTGTGCTAAGGCAACTATGGCATAGAAATAAACATTTGACATTGAAATAAAAAATAAATAAATAAATAAATATCAGTGCATTAAAACAAAATGCTTTCTCCCTTATGCTGCAAGTTCTTTATGGGTCATCTGAGGTCCTCATTCCAGCACCCAAGCTAGTAAAGCACTTGCAGAGTAGAATCTGGATGGTGTCAGCCACATGGCACAGGGAAAGAGAAAGTGTTGGGAAGGGGATGAGAATCACAAACCCACCATGTGCCAGACAGGGAGTAGCCAGGGTAGCACCAATGGCCACCTTAAGTTACCTATAATCTAGTTGGAGGAGTCAGATAATAAATAATTAAAAATAAATAAGCAAAAAAAATTAGATCGTAAGACATAGAAATAAATAAGATTGAGATAGAAAGTAAACTTATACAAGGGGAAGGTGCCGATTTAGATAGAATGGTCTGGGTAGGGGCTTACCAAGGAAGGGACATTTAATAAATTGAAATCTAAAGGAAATTTGGATGTATGACTTATGAAAATTACAAATTTGTACTCCTGTTTGTATATAAGATAAAAAATTAAAAGACTGTTTCATAATAGGAAGTATCTACTATCATAAATATGAGCTCTGCTCTGTACTTAACCTCTGATTTTAAGTGCTGTTGTCTGCCCTGTGGGGAAAATTCCCCTATAGGAATAAGCAACTTGTTCTCGGCTGGTCCTGAGCCATTTTCTCACACTCAGTATTGGCCATGTAATTCACATCCCACAGGCATTTCTCAGCATTTTATTGAAAACCGGTTGTTAACATGTATATCTGCCTAAATCCTTGAACAAATCTCTTCCAGTGAGGAAAGTGAAGATTCTTTACTTACTCAAGCTGAAGCATCAATTTACATATTGGAATTAAAGTAAAAATTAGACTTTTCTATAAGACTAGTCAGAATGCAGATGGAGTTGTAGTTTAAAAAGAGAAATGTCTTATATGCCTTCAACATTCAGTAGATGAGCTAAAATGGCTTGGTTTATTCAAACGTACAATGTGTTAGATGACACAGCTAATGAGGCTCGGCAACCGGTATAAAATATGGATATTGCTCTTTTCCTTTCTTACATTCTTCCACTCTCTGATACTTATCTGGGAGGACCTCCTTCATCATCTCTTTGAAATTAGGTTTCATCTTTATGCAGACCTCATTGCTGCTGGGAGGTAAAAGTGGCACTCCTGAAAAAGCTGATGAGGGAAAAGGCAACAAGCAGAAACCAAATGGAGGTTGAACCTCCATATGTCTCATATTTTAGTGTACATCTGAAACCATTTGGGGTTTGCATTTGTTAACATGCAAATGCTGATTTATTAAGACTGAGGTGGTATGCTACATAACAAATCATTCCAAAACCGAACAGCTTAAACCAACAAATATTTGGTGTCTTATAATTTTTATAAGTCGAGAAGTTGGCTGCTGTTTAGCTGAATGGTTTTGACTCAGGATCTCCATCTCTCATGAGGCTTCAGTCAAAACAAAGGCAGGCAGGGTACAGCCATTGGGAGACTCAACCAGGAGTTGGATGGTCACTTTCCAGGAATGTACACTCATGTGTCTGCTAGCAAAATGCTTCAGTTCCTCTCTGACTTTGACAAGATTCTCAACATGAGGACCCGTCCAAAGGCTGCTTAAATGTCCTTATTGTATGTAGGTCAGCTTTCTCCATAGCAAAAGAGCTAAGAAAACAAGGAAGAACCTTTAATGACTTTTTCTCCTTTTCTTTTTTTCTTTCTTTTTTATTTACTTTTGTTGTTGTTGTTGCTATGCTGGGAATGGAACCAGGACCTTGAATATGTGCTCTACCACTGAGCTACACCACTGTAATACCTTTAATGTTCTAGTCTTAGAAATCACACACCATGGCTTCTACCATATTCTGTCACCCGAACTCATATGGAAGAGAATTAAGCTCCACTTTTTGAAGGGAGAAATAAATTCAGGACATATTTTTAAAACCATCACAGATGCGTGTTTCAGGGTGATACAGGAGGTGATCTTGTACCATATTTTGAGTAGAAGGCACTAGAAAGAATCAATCAGTGAGATTTTGCTCTCATGATACCTCATTTCTGGTATTGTAATCAACCTTCTAAATTGGTCACCCCCAAATAACTGTCTTAATAATCTGTTCTCTTCCTTCTCTTTCTCATGTTATTAAATGTAAACCATATTAACACAGAGTAATAGACACTAGAAAAACTGAATTTTGAAGTGTCTGCACACTCCCAGTCATCCAAAATCATAGTAAAAATCAATAGGACATATCTTGAGCAAATATCAAGAATTAGAGACTAGCACTGAAGTTTGGAGTGACTGTCTTGTCCTGGCATACAAGTCTCACCTCAACCAACCAAGGCTCTCACCTCCCTTCCCCTATACTGCGTATTGCCTATGCACTATCTGCCCAGAGAGGTGTTGTTCTTTGAGTATTTTTATCATCTCATACAGTTTGTTGAGTTCTTCTATTTTAAATATAGTAGACTTAATTCTCTGGAGATTTCTAATTTTTAGCATATTTGTTGTTTTACCTTCCCTTGTTAAATATGGTACTCATACTTCCATGTGCTATTATCATTAAACAGCTCAATATTTTATTGTAATATTTCTTGAAACTCTATTTCAGTAAACCTTTGCTATCCAACATGATAAAGGGATTGAAAAATTCTAGTTAATCGACATAGGGAAATAAGTTTTATATGCCTAAGTGACTTATAATTTTCCAGGAGTTAAAATATAATAAAATATACACAACAGGTATAACTTTACTGAGCATTATTTCTGTGAATACTTAGAAAGTTGTTCAGTTTCCCCAGTGATAATTATGAATATGCAATGCCGATTTTGTGAATAATTGTGGAATAAGCCACTAGATACCCTCTGCTCTCTCCCTCAGATATATAGATAGATATGATATGATATGATATATAAATATATCTGTTCCTAAGACAGGCACTGAATTATAAATATATATGCAAGTATATCTGTATTTGCAATCAATCTTGTCTTTTCCCTGTGTCCTGCCTTAAATAGAAATGATTCTGGGAGAGGTAACATGAGGTCCCTTGCACTTTAATGTGCAGCTCCCTAGCTCCTGCCACCCTAGTGACAGGTGGAAGAGTAAGGGCAGATGGGATGAGTACAGGAAAGATTGAGACAGAGAAAGGAAAATAGAACTGTCACTAGAGAGGAGTCTTTCTGCTTTGCTGTTTAATAATTTGGATTCATTCAGGCTTCACTGACCAAGGTCTGACAAAATGTAAAGTGCCAATTAAAGGACTTCCTGCTTAATAGAATTTCAGTCTGGGAAGTGCTTAATGTCTAATGCTCCAGCAGCAAAGACTACAACTTGATTTTGTGCCAGGGAGATTGAGATTTTTCTTCTGAGTATATTATAATGATGTGAGAATCTAAAATTCAAGTATATGATCAGGAGCGGATTTTTATGTTTCCCTTACCAACCTACTCATCACTCATACAAAGTTGAGTGGTCTTTAAAAGAGCTTATGTGTTTTTTTGTCTCCATTTACTGGGAGTAAGTGTATTAGAAACTGTCAGGAAATTGATGAGCCTTCAGGTCTACTAACTCATTCCTTGAAAGTTAGATGGATGTGCCCTTGCTCTCTGAGACACAATTTGAAGTTGCTGCAGTTTTGTCATTTAAAAAATACTGTTCCTTGCCTCTAGGAAAGCTGTCCTAGCAACTGAATTTATGTCTTATAACTCAGGGCTTGTTGTTCAGTATTCAAATGACAATGGGATACTCTGGCATTTGCTTCGAGAATTGGACTTCCTGTCATTTCTGGAGCCACAGATCATTTCCATTGACCTGCCACGGGAGGCAAAGACACCTGCCACAGCTTTTCGATGGTGGCAGCCACAACATGGTAAGATACTGCCACTCCAACTTTTCTGGTAGCTTCTAGGTCACACAGCATCCATATCTACCTCCTGTTGTGTGTGTCTTAATTTGCTGTCAATTTCCAGACAATTTGATTTTAAATCATGGTCATAAATATATTCATATTGCTATGTAATGAACCTTCTTCAACCACCTTTGTTTGTCTGATTGCAGGGAAGCATTCAGCCCAGTGGGCTCTGGATGATGTCCTTATAGGAATGAATGACAGCTCTCAAACTGGATTTCAAGACAAATTTGATGGCTCTATAGATTTGCAAGCCAACTGGTATCGAATACAAGGAGGTCAAGTTGATATTGACTGTCTCTCTATGGATACTGCTCTGATATTCACTGAAAATATAGGTATATATTATCACCAAACAAAAGGAAGATATTTGATTAACTACAGGAGTAAATTAACTAAACTCGAAAGGATATCCTCTAATACAAAACTGTGTACCTAACTGCCTTTGCTGAGGGAGACTCTTGGGGGAAAAAGTTATATTGTCCTCTGAAATAACTTAGTGAACCCAGTGACTTGTTTTTGTTGGAACTGTCTTTCACAGAACATGATGATGCAAGTAAGATTTCTTAGGTTCTTCAGGCAGAACCAAAAATGTCTGTATGAAGACATTCCTATGTTGCATAATTTGCAGCATTATAAACTTAAGACTATTCTAGCCCTTCTTAAGGTAGTGAAGCTTTTCAGATTAGCAGCCTTCCATATTTTGTGGTGTATAAAAACAGTAAATATGAAAAGAAAAGTCAGAGCACAGCAGGCACTACAGATAAGATACGATTTTTTGCTTGAGATTGAAAATGTTAATTGCAAGCTTAAACATCAAATAAGAAAAGAACATTCTTCTATACTACCATTCAACTTGTTGTTGTTTTTGGTAGGAAAACCTCGTTATGCTGAGACCTGGGATTTTCATGTGTCAGCATCTACCTTCTTACAGTTTGAAATGAGCATGGGTTGCAGCAAGCCCTTCAGCGAGGCCCACAGTGTGCAGCTCCAGTATTCTCTGAATAATGGCAGGGACTGGCATCTTGTCACTGCAGAGTGTGTTCCTCCTACCATTGGCTGTCTGCACTACACAGAAAGTTCAATTTACACCTCAGAACGATTCCAGAATTGGAAGCGGATCACTGTCTACCTTCCACTCTCTACCAAGTGAGAACTGTCATTTGGGTACATCTCAGGATTTTAGGTTTTGTCACCTAATTTGAAAATAATTGTGATTCCACTTGGGGATTCTATTACTTTTCATGATAATTATCCATGGAATACACCAGGAAGAAAAGTACAACGTGTCTTGGGCTGCAGGTTTTAAATGTGGAGATAGTGTTCCAAAAGTTTTGCAAGGCTGAATTTTTCTGTTCTTGGGCAACATGAAGCCTACTCATCAGATTTAGTTCTTAAACTTGTAAAAATAAGCCTCTACCCACATACTCACTTTCAACAATGTGAAATAATCACATAGGAGAGTACTCATAATTCAGGTTTTTTTTTTTATCACAATACAACAATATGAATAAAAGGTTGGGTCCTTTGTGGAACACTCATCTCATTTTACATCTCTCTTACCTTCCCCAGCACTTCAAATCACATTCAAAAATTATATTGACTTGGAGCAGGTTCCTACTTTTGAGGTTCAGCATTTGGATAATTTGAGGATCTCTAGTAACTAATGTATTCTCATTAGTGGGGACTGGTTAGACATTGTGCTAACCTGGGACCACCAATCCCCCATCCTTACCGCCTCCCTTCCTTTGCTCTGCTCTGAATTGCAGGGACATTGGCTTTGCATCCTCCCAGCCTCCTATACCCACTGGCTTCCTGATGAGCATAGATAGTGCAGACACTGGCAAAGATGGGAGTATAGAAATAAAGGGTAAATCAGGATATTCCTCTCCCCTCCTTTTCTGTCTCAGATACATCTTGGCCAACTCCTGTGGCTCCAGACCCACCCTAAATGGTCTCCATGTGATCCTGGCCTTTGGAGTCAAGCAACGGTGCTTCCTATCTATGTCCTTCCAGTTTGGGACTTGTAGTCCCTGACTTTGCTAAACTCTGATTTCATTGCTGGGATTTCAGCTCTGTCACTAACTGCACATCCAATTCCTTGTACTAAATTCTCTGTGTATTGGATGCTTGTAGTGGTTTCTATTTTCCTGGTTCAATTCTGACTCAGAGATGTACAACAAAATGGCAGAAAAAAATGCAGGAAATCAAAGCATGCTAGAATTTAGCATAAAATAGTTTCCTCTGGATCCCCCAGAGTTTTAAAAAGTGCTTGCTTGTAGCTCATTTATTCATTTTTAAATTCAGTATTTACTGAGTATCTATTGTGTTTTAAGTACTCTAATACTAAATGAATAAGCTGGGGCCAGGATCCAAATATATTATATTTAGGATGCCAGATATATAAGCAGCTTTATTATATAAAGTAATACTCACTACTGTAACACAGAAGGACACCACCTAAGCCAGCTTGGGGGTGTTAAAGAAGCTTCCTGGAGAAGCTGATGTCTCAGCTAAGTCTGAAGGAGTCAGGCTCATCCAGGTAAAGAGAGGTATGGGAGAACATCCATGCTGTTAGAAGCCAGAACAAAATCCAGAGGCCAGAAAAAAGCACAAGTTGATGAGAAAATTCAAAGATTCAGTGTTTTCAAAATGTAATCATGAGTCAAGAAATAGGGAAGAAAAGATAGATCTGGGGAAGAGGGAAGATGATGAAAGGGCCGTGTCTGACCTCTTTAGTGGTTTGGCCTTAACAGTGCAGGTGTTGGGGACCCATTGAAAGGGGTTAAACAGTTGTGGTGTGGTTAGAATTCCATTTTAAAGCCACCACACTTGCAGCTATGTCCCATTGAAAAACTTACATGGGGAAACAGTGATTCGCAAAATGGCACTACTAAGATTCAGCCTGAGCAGGACCATGTTCCACATTCCAAATACCTAATAATCTTCTGCCATGTAGTCTGTTCCTCAGAGCGGACTGTCATTGTTGTTTGGTAAAGCTGCCTTGATTCTAGATAAAGTGTCTTCTGACCCAGTGTGCCCCAAATAGCAGATTGCAAACACTGTGAAGTGATGCATCCATCATTCCCGTCCTCGGCTTTAGAGAGCCAGGATATGGAGAACCAAAGTAGAGGGCAGAAGTCTGGTAAGATTTCCATTTACTCTGAGAAACCATTTAGGGTCAGTGGAATGGGCACATCACTGTTAGAACTTTGTTAAGATTCCAGCTTTTTCCAGCCTTTGATCTCTTTTTCAATATTGAACAGCAGTAAAAGCCTGCAAGCAAAAACTAAAATTGTGCATATATTTCAAAAATACAAATCAGTAGTTCAAAATAACTTTTCCATCTCACACACATTGTCTCTTACTTGAGACATGCTTTTGGTTCTTCTTCTTTATGGGTCAAGAGGAAACAGCATTCACCATTAAGTATGAACATAAAATATCTCAAAGAAGAGGGAGGTAGACCCTGGAAGAAGGTGTTTTAAAGGGAAATGGGAAGTAAAATAAATGTCCTGTGTTTTTAAAATTGCTTGTCAACTCCATTGGTTAATGAAAGTGTTTTCTTTGGTTAGTTCTCCCAGGACCCGGTTCAGATGGATTCAAGCCAACTACACTGTGGGAGCTGATTCCTGGGCTATTGATAATGTTGTACTGGCCTCAGGGTGCCCTTGGATGTGCTCAGGACGAGGGATTTGTGATGCTGGACGCTGTGTGTAAGTTAATAAAACTGGCAATTTCTTTCTTTGCAATGCAACAATTAAACTGCCTCATTGAACTCATGAGAAATGATGCCTTTTCTGCTCTCATTTTTTCCATAGATGTGACCGGGGGTTTGGTGGACCCTACTGTGTTCCTGTTACCCCTCTCCCTTCAATTCTGAAAGATGATTTCAATGGGAACTTACATCCTGACCTTTGGCCTGAAGTGTATGGTGCTGAGAGAGGCAATCTGAATGGTGAAACCATCAAATCTGGAACGTCTCTCATTTTTAAAGGGGTAAATAAATTCTACTTCTCTGCCTTACTGAAATCATTCCCTTCTTTATTCACTGTTCCACACAAATGTGTTTCTGAATCTCTTCAGATGATGTGTTATCTTATGCATAGCTACTATCTTTAGATCAAACCATGTTTCCTCTTCTATTCAGCGCATTGATTTTTGATGATCACTTGTGCATTACTTTTTTTCTCTAGTTTGGTGATCAGGTCTTCCTTACTTTCTGTTGGAAATTATATATGAAAATGTATATGTACCTAATTTTTAGAACCTAGGGTCCTAGAATATATCATTTTACATTACTAAATATTTAGCTTGCAATATTTTTTAATGATTTTTTTGAAGTTTTTCCTTTCTCTCTTTTTATTCTTCCTGCCAGTAAAACTACTTGGTAGTGACAAAGAAAACTAAACATTTAAGTCAAATTAAATAGCATTGTCAAACACTATAGTTTTTTCATTTTGCCGTAGTTGTCTGTTTAGATAAAAGTTAAGCAATAGAGTGAAACTGCTCAGCAGGCACATCTTCATATGTGCATACATGCTACATCATGTCCCTCTCAGCAGGGAGAAATTGACTCATCTAGGTGTGCGAGTGAAATCATTGACAAAAATCGGCATGGGTGTCTATACAGCCTTAATGACTAATATCTAATGCTCAGAAAATTAGACACCCTGAAACTTTCCAATTATAGTTAATAGATGCCAGTAATCATCCTTATTTGAATCCAAATTTCTTCTCAAGTTTTGGATAAGAAAGAAAAAATGCTTTGGGGCCTAAGTGTTTTACAAGTCCCTAAGAATTTTAGGGACCAAAGCAATTGAGGTATTACAGTTCATAGTTGAAGCTCCTCTTTTTGGTTTTAGTTTTATCTAAGGCTCACGACCACTAGCTAACTTCTGATCCAGTTGAAGCAGATGACAAGACCAAAGGGCAGAGAAGCCTATAACTTCATGATTCAAAGATCTTTGCTTGATAAATTTTTAAGTCATACAATTAACCTGGTCCTTAGAGACTCTAAATTAGAAAGACACATAGTCTTTCATTTTCTCTTTAGCCATCCAAATGCAAGAGCAGTCAAGCATTATATTATTAGACATCATATCCATCAGCTTTGCAAGATGTAGAGGGCTCAGTGTGTGTCATTCCAGGGTGCAGTGTGACCCAAAAAAGCATTCTTTCGTGAAAAAGGAAGTAATAGTCTCTTTTTTTGATGTATAGAGAGTCAGGAGTACTATCAGCTATTAAAATAGCTTGTTGCTTGCAAAAGGATTCTTCACATTTGGCACAAATAGGTCACTGAACGTGGAAAAAGATATAAAAGAAATGTGCCTATGCAAAGCAGAATTTGTGTGGCAACAGGGGTTGATTGTTCCATCACATAAATATCAGTATCAAGTGCTAAACTATAAACAAATGTTGCAAACAGAAAAAGATACTTTGAGAATACAAATACGCCCACTTTCAACAAAATTGCTCCTACAAAAAGCAATGTAAAGTGAGTCCTTTTACAGGTGACTTCTGTTTGCCCATGGGAACAGTTTTATACTTATATTACATAATCAAGGGGGGAGAGTAATCATATTCCTTACCTTGATGGAAACAGGGTGTTTATTAGCTGAATCTCTCGACTGTCTATCTCAGAACTTTTCCCTTTCAAAGTAAAGAAGCCACCTTTCCTCTTAACCTCAACCTCCACGTGACACTGAGACGTAAATGAATCCACACCTTTATGTGTGGAAGGGAGAGAGAAAACATGCAGAATAGGCACTGACTAGGCATCCTGCACTAAGCAGTGCAGTAGATTACTAGACAGAAAAGAAAAACAAAGAATGGAGAGAGACATAAGGGTTTTTAATGGCAACCTTCAATCCTAAAAGTTGAAAGTAAGCTGCATGAAGTTAAGAAATGGGAGTAAATGTGGTTGGTTTCTGTTTTTTTTTTTTTTTTTTTTCGTTACAATACCAAGTAGTTCATAAATTCCAACTTTAACATTATCTGGTTTCTTCTTTCCATCCAAAAGAAAGATGAGTTGGTAGACAAAACACCAGTTATCTTATAAAGGATAGAGGATAAGTTTCAGAATCTGACATCATAGGTTCAAACCCTTACACACTATGTAATTTCAAGCAAGTTACTGTCTCTGACTTTCAGTTTCCTTATTTGCAACACAAGAATAATAATATCTTCCTCCTAAGAATGCTAGGTCCTTTTAATAAGTAAAGTGTCTATTTTGGAATGTAGGATGTTATAAAGCACTCAATATATGCTTGCTATTGTGAAAATACTTCAGCTGTTGAAGACTGTGCTCTATAATAAATATTAAGAAAAGGAAAAATAAAAGAGTAAAAATAGGAAAAAGTGTTGAAAACGGAAGATAAAAATGAAATTGCAAACAGAGTAAAATAAATATGTTAGAAGTAGAGGAAAAATGTTCAAAATAATTGATTTATCCTTAGAAATAACAGGGACTAAAAGATAATTGAGTCATATCTTTGAAATGCAGAATTTTTAATGTATCAACTTAGAATTGCATATCTATCAGAAAGATATTTCTAAAAAAATGGTGATATAAAGATATTTTAGATAAACAGAAAAAAGAAAGGAAAAAATTGTTCTTTCTAACTAATATTTGGTATTTGTTAGTTGATAATTAAGAAATCATACTGGGCATGGTGGCTTATGCCTCTAGTCCCAGCTACCTGGGAGACATAGGCCCAATTAAACAGTGCAAGACCCTAGCTGAAAAATAACATAAGCAAAAAGAACTAAAGGCATTGTTCAAGTAGTAGAGCGCTTGCCTGTCAAATACAAGTCCTGAGTTTAAACCCCAGCACCACAAAATAAAAAAAGAAAGAAATCAGTTGACAGTGTCCACTCAGTATCACAACCACAGACACCACTGAAAAGTCACTTCAATTCAGCAGTTGCAGCTAAAAAACTAAAAAGCCTGTTTGTGCCTTAGAACATTTGCATAGTAAGAGCTGTCTTACTGGCTGTCACCACATCCCATGTACACATGAAGAAAACAAGCTTTCTAACTGTCAATCCCAGGCAACCAGAAATAGTTAATTAGCAGAAAAAATTACTAAAGCTAATATGATCTCTTTCCTTGTTCCTTGGTGTCTCTGCATGAATGGTGACAGCCCAGGCATGGGGACCTGCTTTAGTTATGCCTTATTTCACCTTACCAAGTGGGGGATGGTATGTCAGCCTGAATGGAAGCCTCCTGGGGCTGGCAGAGCCAGCAACAGAATAGTGAGTTCCTAAGACTCCTTGGAATCCTGAAAAAGTTACCTATTAGTCCCCAGCCTCCAGCAGGAGCACTTGGCTCATTTTCCACCTGCTTCCTCCTTGCTTCTTTCACAGCATGCTGTGATCCAAGAAGGCTATTTTTTAAAAAGGCCTGTAGGTTTATAATGCTATTATTTTTGCATTGCTTTTTATAAGTTACGGCAAAGTATGTTTTAGAAGTGAGACAATGGAATTGTATTACTCAGGCACAGGAAATGAAGACCACTAAGAGAGGAAGGACAAGGAGCATTCAATTTTTCCTTTAGAATTGGGCAAAATATTGCTTCTTGATCATTATAACTATTACTTAGCTAATGTGAGTTAGGAGTATAAAATTAGAGGAAAGTAATTTTGTAAATTACTTGAAACAAGGTTACTTGACACATATTTTGTTTGTTTGTTTTCAGGAAGGACTAAGAATGCTTATTTCAAGAGATCTAGATTGTTCCAATACTATGTATGTCCAGTTTTCACTTAGGTTTATAGCAAAAGGTAAGGTATTTCTATGAGTGTGCATGCATTGTTTTCCTTTAAGAAAACCTCCCATGCGCAATTCCTCCTCCACAAAGAAACAGCAGATTTAGGGACCTATAAATTTTTTTTACAGGAAAGAGCTAACATAAACTTGTATACATGAATGTTGCCAAATGTTCTTCTTTAATATATGTTCATCTTAATATAAGATTAAGATAACTACTGATTTTAAATGACCTCATACAGCTACAATAAACATACTAGTTCTGTGGTAGTTAAACTTATCATTTTTGTTTCTGAGTCTTCCAACCACCACTTTCTAGCAAAAAGAACTTTAAATTAAAAGATTTTAATTTATGAAAATATAGAATTTTCTTTTACAAATGTGAACCCCTAAAAAACCTACTCTGTCATTCTGACTTTTCACACTTAACTAAATGATTTTCTTTAAAAATAATGTCATTGTGGGTATGTTTTAATAATATTTCATTTATATTCCAAGGTCTAAATATTTGACTCTTTGTAAAACTATGATGCCAAAAAAAATTTTTCAGCAGTGTTTCCTAACTACAGAAAGACGTGTGCATATCTGAAAAAGGAGAGTATTATCATGTGCAGATCCAGGATTTGCTGTGGTTTTCACTGTATTCATGTAAAAAGTCCAGCCTGTCATCACTTTCAGTTGCCTCTGAAGCGTTTGGACCATAAAGTCTCTATGTAAACAAATTGTCTCGTGTCAATGGCAGAAGAATAGACGAAGAACACACTATTTCCTCACTTCTACCACAATATGACATGCCTCTGTTCTCTTCTTCTTAGGTACCCCAGAGAGGTCTCACTCTATCCTCCTCCAGTTCTCTGTCAATGGTGGAATCACGTGGCACCTGATGGATGAATTTTACTTCCCTCAAACGACCAATATACTTTTCATTAATGTTCCCTTGCCATTCAATGCCCAAACCAATGCGACAAGATTCAGGCTCTGGCAGCCTTACAATAATGGTAAAGATGCGTGTGTTCTCCTGTGATCAGAACTGACAGTAGCATATAACGTACTTGTCTCTAAGGTGTGGAGAAATGGTCAAATAAGAGGCTTACCACCTATTGTACTTGCTTCACTTTTGCCCATTCTCAATGAATATTTAGCTTTATGTATCTTTATTGTCTCATCTTGCTTAACTAGTGAGTTTTCTCAATGATGTAAATATAGCTAAATACTGTCACAGAAGTAAGACTTTTTTTAAATCCAGCATTACCATTAGACACTATCAATTCTAGCTATAATTGCGTCGAATTAATTTGGGAAAGCATAGTTCTTCTGAGTGTGATACTTCATTAGCGAAATAGAACATTATAGCAAAATGCTATGGAAAAGTAAGAGGGACTTAGACCAAGCAGAGATAGTGCCTTAGAAAATATTCTTGTCACATACATTTGCTTCAGTAATGAGCTAAAATGAATGCTTAACATTTTTAAAAGGTTACAGAAAATGATTTTACAGATTTGTAATGTTTCATTGCTTCCTGTATTTCTGTTAACTGTTGATTATAAAAGACCATATTTTATGAAATCATGCATTTAATCACCTGAATAAGCACAGAGATACCACATTAAGCAGATTCGTTGCAGAGGTTACACAGAAAATGATATGAAAAATATAGTTCCAGCTCTAAAATTTAACCTGAGTATTTCCTTTATGAGTAATTAGTAAAAAAAAAATTAGCTTATTGTGAGATAAATAAAATCATGATGGACTTTTGCCTAAATAGATTCTTATATATGAGATTATATAAGGTATATCATATATATCTTATAGTACATAATACATGCAAGTTTATGTATTGGATATATATATGATATTATACAGGATATAATATATCATGTATGTATATTGTATCTTATATAATTTAACTTATTGTGAGATAGATATTATATCTTATATAATCTCCAAATAAAAATCAAAAAAGAAATAAAGCCAGTTTTAAAATCCAGAAGATTGTTGCCTTCATGTTGTGACTGGAATGCTTCCATGATTATTTTCATTGTATTCACAATCACTTCCAAGAAAATAAAAGAAAGCTACTAGAATTAGAACAGGAATAGGATTAGAGAAATAGAGGCAGTTGGTTTCATTTAAAGCATGTTTATTTCTACAGGCTCCTGCATGTAGATCCTTTTTTTTCAATTGGATACGTTATATATTTTTTTTAATTATTTCTTTTATTCATATGTGCATAGAATATTTGGGTCATTTCTGCCCCATCCTCCCTGCCCCCTCCTTTTCCCTCTGACCCCTCCCTCACCCCCCTACCCCCTTGCTTCCGAGCAGAAACTGTTTCAGAATTGTACTAAAAGTAGGAATCAGTGAAGAAGCAACCTAGAGAAATCTTGAGGTTGCTTTTTGGCATGGTTTTATCACCTTGCTTCCTGTTCAGTCCAGAGCACTTGACAAAAGCTGGTTTTGCTCTTCTCTTTTGCTCTGTAACCTCTTCAAACACTTGGCCTAAGTCATAGTCAAAGGCTGTAACAGTCTAAGGAGTGATCTCAGTAATATTCCTGTATTGCTACATTTCTTCCAATAAACATAGAAGGTTTTACATAAAGGAAAATGATGGAGGAGTTGAATTCATCTATGATATATTGTAAGAACTTTTGTAAATGTCACAATTTACCCCCAATACAACAGTAATAAGAAAAGAATCCTAAAAAAATAGGTTTGGAAAGCACTAAGAAAATAAATAAATATTCTATATCACAGAGTAACTTTATTCTGTGTCAAACAAATACAACAATGAATTTAGTTTTGTATTAGGGCAGTGTTGTAGTGGCCAGGGTCTTTCTGCCTGACTGAAGCACAGTGCTGAAGTCATGGGTTGAATCTGAAAGCCCCAAGCTGCCTTAAAGACTAGTTAACATACCTCCATTCTGAGTCTACTGACTATCCATCCTTATAAACCAAACGTCTTACAGATTCCCCCAAACACTAAACACAAGTCAGCCCCACTCTCGCTGATGAAAGGTCCATAGCACCACTGTGACTGGAAGGACAGCACATACTCACAAGCTGTTTGTCCCAGCTTTCTGAAATTGGTGAGAAAGCTCTATGCTTTGTCAATTTATATACTTGCAAGTTTAATTTTTTCACACTTTGATTACTGTGAATATGCTGTTATGTAGTTTTGTCTAGAAGGCATATGTTGAATGTTTTGTTACTGTGTTCCTTCTGTCATTTACTTTCTTTCAATGAGCAAAAATGTTCATCTGATTTTTATTGTTGGAAAAACTTGCTCTATCCAAAATTGCCTTAGGTAAGAAAGAAGAAATCTGGATTGTTGATGACTTCATTATTGATGGAAATAACTTGAACAACCCTGTGATGCTCTTGGATACATTTGATTTTGGGCCCAGGGAAGACAACTGGTTTTTCTACCCGGGTGGTAATATTGGTCTTTATTGCCCATATTCTTCAAAGGGAGCACCGTAAGTATTTAATTGAGAAGCTAAAAATAAAACCACTGCTCTATATTCACTCATGATGAATTTTTGCCTAAATGGCTTCCTTATTGTTTTCTTGAATAACAGCGAGGAAGATTCAGCTATGGTGTTTGTTTCAAATGAAGTTGGTGAGCATTCCATCAGCACCCATGACCTAAGCGTGAATGAGAACACCATCATACAATTTGAGGTACTGGACACTGTTGTACTAGCAATATTTTAAGTTTTATCTTGAGCAAAAGCTAAAAAAGAAGGGAAATCTCAGGTAATTTCATATGTTTGTAACTTCCCATTTTTGTGCAAGGACATAAAAGGTGTTGGTATCATAATTCAATTTTATTACCAGAACCAATTGTCATATTAATGCTTATTGTGAACTTTTATACTTATGACATAGTTTCTATACCTACTGTAATGAATAAGTTATTTTAAGCATTATAAAAATAAAAAGAACCATATTTTGATATTGTTATTTTCACGGTTTTTAAGTGAAACTTAAAATTTCTTAGGATCTAGGTCAGTGTAAGATAGTCTATACCATACCAGCACATTTATGTAATTTTATCATACTGCCACAAATTTTACATAAAAGCAATACTACATGGTTTTTATAGTTTTAAATATACTTGCTCTATGTATTTTATTAATATCATGTAGTCCTTATATTTTTCAAGAAAGCAAATTAATAATTAACATAAAAACCTTTACATGTTTCAAAAACTTGAGCAAAATTAGCAGAACCAAAGGTACATTATGCATGCTTCATACCTGAAGTCTGTACCAACCAATCAGCAAACTTACCTAAAATCGCTCCCAATTGCAGCAACACAATTTTGAATATTTGTTTTTCATTATCTGCCTATATCTCCTAAAGCAGAGTATGTTTTGCAATCTCAAAAGTTAAAGATCCAATGACTTCTCGATAGAGAAATTATTCTGTATCTATTTTAAATTTTTGATTGTATTTTTTAATTTTATGCTTTAAATGCTAACAAAAAAGTTGAACCTTTGTCTTTTAAGAGTTCTATTATCAAAACAATTCAAATGGAATATATGCCTACAGTTACAAAGTTTGTCAGGTGCTAATAGTTTACATATTAGAAGGTAAAAGGGATAAGGTTGCATGTGTGTGAGCGCACACACGCACACACATACACACATGCACACACACACACACACACACACAATCAATGCCCAATTGCTATGATAGCAAGAAAATGTTACTCCCAATTGGAAGGAGGAAACTTTTCACAGAAATAAACGCATGCATTTAAGTTTCCACTTAGTGCGCTTGAAAGCATGAGGAAATGAATGAAGTGGTTATTTCTGTAAGGGTTAAAAAGGTCTTTATGTAAAAACAGTAGAAAGGTAGTTGTCAGGAGTGGTTGGGGGAGGAAATGAAAGATGTAGGTAAAAGGATATAAAGTTGCAGTTATGTAGGATGAATCAATGTAGACGTCTAATTACAGGGTGAGGATTATAGTTTAAAATATTGTATTTTATGCTAAAATTTTGCTAAAAGAGTTAATTTTAGGTGCTGTTAACATAACATGGTGACTATGCAAGCAGTGGATTGATTAATTTGCTTAACTGTGTATATTTTATCAAAACAGCATCTTATCCACCTTAAGTACCTACAGTTTTTTTTTAAGTCTCTCCTTGTGCCAGAGAAGTAAATAACAACAATTGTTTTCTGGGGTTTTTGATACTGAATATATATTGAAGCTTCTTCATGTTCAAAACTTTTGGAGTTATCTGGAAGGTGTCATAGGAAGGGAAACAGAAGGTACTCTTACCTAGTAGACTGGGAAGAAGCTAACAGGATTAGGGAAACAGTATTTTCATTACAATTTGCTTGATTTGACTATTAGACAAAGGTACAATTTGGAATAATCCCAGTCTTTATCTTACCCACTTCCTGGTTTCTTTAAAATGAGGAAAAATAAATTTTTCATGAGGTCTTTTAAAGCTCTTTATGAAAATAAAATTGTACTTTAAGAGTAATATATGATCTAACTCAGGCAAAACAGAATCTTACAGTGTTAAATTTTCAATAAGGCAGTTCCCAGGAAAATGGACTCTAGAGTATAATGAAGTAGTGAATTATTTCAAGGCTTGTTGCTCTGGGATAGTCTGTATCATTTTTTTCTTTTTTTTTCAAGATCAATGTTGGATGCTCCACTGACAGCTCATCTGCTGATCCAGTCAGACTGGAATTTTCAAGGGACTTTGGAGCCACCTGGCACCTGCTGCTTCCCCTCTGCTACCACAGCAGCAGCCACGTGAGCTCCTTATGCTCCACTGAACACCACCCCAGCAGCACCTACTATGCAGGGACAACCCAGGGCTGGAGGAGGGAGGTCGTGCACTTCGGGAAGCTGCATCTTTGCGGGTGAGAGTCTGTTGCTTGGCACCACTTTTGTTTCTCCTTCTGACAGTTCCTCCATGCAGTCACCGCTGACTTGCCACTTTATCAGGAGGAAAGTTCCACTTCACATTTCTTTTTCAGTTCTCACTTGAAACATATCAATATATACTTAAACCATAGGACACAGAATTGATATAACTGCTTACTTATTGTTTGAAAGTAGATTTAAGAGTATGCTGTGGACTGCACAGCCTGGAATTCATTTTCCCATGGGTTTTTAACAGATCAAATAGGAAGCAATAGAAATATGGTTTTCCTCTTATTTTTGACCCTCCCCACAATAGACTCCAACCTCACAATATAAATGCACTTAGAATTTAATACATTCAATATCTACCTATGTCCTCTCATGCAGGGAGAGAGCATACAAGGAGGATGGAAGCTCAGAGCCAATTCCCCAGGTCTCATTAAAAAATTGTTAGTGCTTTTCCCCCAGGCATTTCTACTTTTTCAACCTCTCTCAGCATTATTGTAACATATATTTGACTTTTCTGTTGGAAAGTTATTTGGAGATAAAGGACTTCAACCCTAGTAGAAATGAAATGAAGAGTATGGTTTCAAAAAAGAAAACTAATAAGATCAGTGAACAAAGGGAGGATGTCAACAAAGCAGCCTGCCTCAGAATTTCTGTCTTTTCTTTCAGAATAAAGAATTCTTTCAGAGTATATAAAAAAAAAAGAAGGAAGTTCCAATATCATACTTTTAAGATAGAAGCAAACTTACATCCATGATATGAAAATGAGCATAATTAGAAGTCTTAGTTCGTCATGAAAAACTAACAATACTTAGCTCTTATCCAAAAGGGTGGAAGCTAATCTTCAAAAGTCTGCATTCTCTTTTTAACATAATCCATTACTCATCCTTGCACCAGAAAATTTTGATTTGATTACTAAGGGTTTAAATATTTACTTTCATTGAGTAAATTACTTATCAATCCTTGTTATTACATCAGGACATTACTCTAATAGAAAATCCAACTACATTTTTTTTAAAAGATAAGCATGCTAAGCAAAATGTCCTCAAGATGCTTTAGAAGAGATAGCCAGCCAGGCCCTCATGACTCACATCTATAATCCTAGCTACTTAGGAGGCTGGGATTGGGAGGATTATGGTTTGAGGCCACCCAAGGCAAATAGTTCCTGAGACTCCATCTCCAGAGTAACCAGAGGGAAAAAAATGGACTGGAGATGTGGCTCAAGTGGTAGAGCATCTGCTTTACAAGCATGAAGTACTAAGTTCAACTCAAAGTCCCACCCCCCCAAAAAAAAATCAATAACCAGAGGAAGTAAAGAGATGCTGGACTCTGGATATTATAGGAAAGATGGATCTGATACCTCACCTAACATGACCAGAAAGTTTCTGTTGGTTTGGACAGTTTGTCCATAGAAGAAGCAAGTAGAAGAAGATAGCTCAGAAAAAACTTTTTATCCAAACTCAGTTGTATTGCTTAAGACTTATGTTGCAAGAAATGTGAAAAATCTTACAACATAGTGGAACAATTTATTGGAAATTTATTGGACCTCTCAGGAAGTGAGAGGTCCTCGGGAACAGGAGTTTGTGATCCTCATTTTTATCATGAAGACATTAATATCACTCAGCAAGCCACAGCTCTCATTTCCTGGGGCTCTCAATTCTAAATTTCCTGAAAAGAAAATCTAAACCAGTCAGCTATGGGCAGAAATCTGCATGTTGTGCCAGAAGCATAGCTTCCCAAGCACCATGCCCATGGGCAGGGTAGGCAAGGGAATAAACCTGGATGTGAGACAGAGGCACTGCTATGGTCCAAATGTCCATAACTTCCCCCAAAAAAATTCATACGCTGAAATCCTAGGGGAGTTAGGGGTTTGGGGGATGTGATAGGTGATGAGCACAGAGCCCTCATAAATGGGATTGCTGGCCTTATAAACAAGACTCTAGGTAGATAATTGCCTTGCCTCTTCCACCATGTGAGGTCACAGCTAGGAGGTACCATATATGGACCTCAAAGCAGACCCTCACCGGACGCTGCTAGCTCCTTGATCTTGGGCTTCCTAGTCTCCAGAAGTATACAAAATGAGTTTCTGTTGTTTATAACCCACACGATTTATTTTGTTATAACAGCTCAAAGAGATTAACATAGACACCTGTGACTAGAATATTTATTCCCCCAGAATCCATCATGGTATTTCTGAAAAGCACCAGGTTTTCTCTTTATTGTACTCCCATTGCCTGATTAAGACTTATTAAATAGAAAACAACCCTGAAAATAGGGTTTGGGCCATGATTTTAGATTATCTTACCGACTGAGACTTGCTTCACAAATTCCACGTGGAAATAAACCTATCTAAAGGACATAAAGTAAGGTCACAGAGATATGCTAGCCAGAGGCACTGAGTGAAGCTGCATGCAGTGCTGCACCAGGATGGTGACCACCTTGCTTAGTGATGGTGGCTCCCACTGTGGTGGGCTTACACATAATGCATGGCAATATAATTTGCAAATTTGAACAAGAGAAACACAGAGACCTCTATTCACCCTCCTCTTATGTAACAACACACTTACAAAACACAATCTCATAAAAGTGCACAGAATTTAGACTGTTGTTTTACTTGTACCCCATGTCATTTTTATTTCTATGAAGTGAGTTGAGGAGGCATGCCCACTCTCAGAATGGTGTAACTGCTTTTACCCATTTCTGTGAAGGGAAGGATTTGCCATAATAGCGTTGTCTAGTCCTTGTTTCAGGAAAAGAATTAGCCCCGTTCTTAAAACCCATGCAGGCATGAATTGCTGGAAGGCAAAAGTTAAATTTTCTCCAACTCAGTGAACCAGTCCTTGGGTTTGTATTCAACATGGTACATAATGGCACAAGTACAAGCTGCTAAAAAAAATGATAAAATCCATGCTTAAATTACCCTTTTTGGTGACTTAGTGAACACTGAATGAACACACAAACAAAAAGTCTATTAAATGTTTTCAGAAGCCATGTGGCCATTTGGTTTTGCTTCCAAATATTGTCAATTTGCTGTTAAAATGTAGTACTGGTTTTCCATCCAATTTTATTCGCATCACCTTTAATGTCCTTTGAGTCTAGAGTCTTTGTGTCTTTAAAACTTCCCAATTGTTTTTGCATTGTGCAGTTTCATAATAAGTCCACTAAAAAAACCCTATTTAATGGAAACAGTGTTGTGTGCTTGAAATTTTAAGTTTATGTTTAAAAAACAGAGCTTTGAATACCACTGGCTTGGGAGAACAGGTGCTGACATTCGCCAAGGAGGGTGGTAGTGAGAAATTTTCTAAATAAGATTTTAGCAGAAGGGAGCCACAGTGAAACCAGACCCTTCAAACCATTTATCTTCGGGCTTGCAGTTTCTGTGTCAAGGCAGGTGAACAATAATAAATATCCAGCCAAGGTGGTTCATTTGTATTCAGAACATTTGAATAAATAAGGCGTTCAAAAAAATCCATGTAGACTTGTTCAAAGGAAGACACTAGCCATTTCCCTCAGCTCAGCAATCTGAAAGTTCAAAAGTTAAGAAGTACTTCTTGCCAAGACTAAACTCTGACATGTATTTGAAAATCAAGTTTAATTACGAACTGGTATTTTAGAAGGAGCTTGGTATAGTTGGCGTCTTGATACAAACAATGATATTAGGCTTAAAATTTTATGTGAGAACTTGACTCTACCTGCTTTATCATCTACTAAACTCTAGAAGCTTAGGAAGTTCATTTCCCTCTCACCACACATCCCAACCCTGGTATTTGACTTCTAATTTCTGATTCTCAAATAAAAAAACATCAGAATTTAGTTTCTATGGTAACTAGAAATTGGGCAAATTCAGAGAGCACAAAAATAAATGCACATGCCATCTCCATATTCTGCCCCTCTAAAATAAATCTGTCTTCTTTTAACTGAGTTTTCTACATGGTAAAATACATTAAACTATTTCTGGACTGCTACCTAAATATGTAAAGTATTTCTAAGTAGCTGATTTGTCATCAGTAATGTGATAAAACAATTCATTTACTTATCTTTGATTTTTTTGTTCAGTTTATTTTTAAAAATTTTTTAATGGTGTTGGGGTTTGAACTCAAGGCCTCACTCTTGCTAGGCAGGTGCTCTACCACTTGAGCTACTCCACCAGCTACTTATCTTTGATTTTTAAACCTAAGAAATAATAGACAACAAACTAAAAATAAATCTGTTTTTTTTTTTTTTTACTTTTTCTGTTAAAAACTTGCCGACCATCTACAGTGTGTGAATAACTTCATAAAAAGGTACAAATAAAGGAGGCATGGACATTGACCTCTGTAAGCTCACTCCCAATAGAGGAAACAGACAGCCTTTTAAATAACTCCAGCTGTGATACCTGTAACAGTGACCATCCCATCAAAAATATGGAAGAGAAAATGAAAATGAAAGAGAAATTAAAAGATGAGTAATATACCATAAGACCCAGAATTTCCCCTATGATTGTACCCACAAGAATTGAAAATAGGTGTTTAAGCAAAATACTTGTGCTATACCTAGATGTTCATAGAAGCACTACTCACAAAAGCCAAAAGGTGAAAACAGCCAAATGTTCATCACTGATGAATGGATAAAGTTGATACATCCATGTAAAGGAATATTATTCAAACATAAAAAGGAATAAAATTCTGATACTTGCTACAACATGAATGAACCTTGAAAACATTAATGCTGACTGATTGAAGCCAGACACGAAGGTCACATATTGTTTGGTTCCAGTTATATGCAAATCTGGCATAGACAAATTCATAGCTTTAGAAAGCAGTTTGGTGGTTTCCAGGGAGGGATTAAATGGGGACTGGCTTAGAACTGGATAAAGGTAGGCAACACTGTGACTATGTAAATGCCCCTAAACTGTACCCTTTTAATAGTTAATGGCTAATTTTACATTACATGAATTTTACCTCAACTTTAAATAGGTTAATTATTGCAGAGTGTAGATAGTAGGAATGGAGAAATCATCACCAAAGAAGACAATATTGAAGACGGTGGGAAAACCAGGTGGAATTATCACATCCTGATAGAATTAGGAAGGGCTTACAGAAAGTAGGAAATTTACTGGCAAAATCCTAGAGTTTGAAGAATGGAGTTTTGCTGCTGAAATGGTAAATCATGTTTTCTACTTCTTGAGTGTGGTGAATCGTAACTCCCACATTCAGTAAGATATGCTTACCCTAAAGGTATATTGTTCTCTTGCTCAGTTTTTAAAAGAGTTGTACCTCTTTTCCAGATCTGTGCGTTTCAGATGGTACCAGGGGTTTTACCCTGCTGGCTCTCAGCCAGTCACCTGGGCCATTGATAACGTGTACATTGGTCCCCAATGTGAAGAGATGTGTAATGGACATGGAAGCTGCATCAATGGAACCAGGTGTATATGCGATCCCGGCTACTCAGGTCCAACCTGTAAAATAAGCACCAAAAATCCCGATTTTCTCAAGGATGACTTTGAAGGTAATCTTCTCTCAAAAATTATGCATAGCTTTGTGAAAGAATTAATATGTAATCATAATTTATGATAGAGAATTAGTTAGTAAGGTCTACTCTAATATTTCATTATTATCATTACAACTGGAAATACCCAAGAGTTCATTTAGTTCTAAAATTTTATAGGGTTCCTTTTCTGGAACAGTGGTCAGTGAGAGAAAACAAAACCTTAACTGAGAAAAAAATTGAGGCTATTTTCAACATTTTTATACCACATGCAGTTTCTAATTAGTGATAATTTTAGGAAATGTCTCCAAAACGTTCTTCTTCTTGGATGGAAGAAACAAGTTTTCAGAAATCTAAGTTTCTGTCATTGCTTTTATGCCAACTCATTAGGGAACTACTCATCACTTTCTGTTCTTTAGTTTTATGCCTAGAATCCAGCATCATTATATGTGAAGATAATGTTACAACATAGAAAAATGCACAGTGCAATGATTGGAACAAAGCATTTAAATTGTAGATGCACTCTGATCAAACTACTGATAAACACCTGTTCACCAGAAAGTCATATATAATAGCTGTATTAATGATACTGACAGATTTTTGTTTTCCCCATGGTGTACTTATGGTTTTATATTATGCTTTAAAACTATCTATGTATGAACATACACTGGAACATTACTTTGCCATAAAAAGGTGTGAAATACTGATACATGCTGCAGCATGGATGAACCTTGAAAATATTATGCTAAAAGAAAGAAGTCAGACACAAAGTCCGCATGTTATGTATTTCATTTATATGAAATATCTAAAATAGGCAAATCTATAGAGATAGAAAACAGATTAGTGGTTTCCAGGGAATGGATGGGGTAGGGAGGGGTTGGCTGCTTAATTGGTACAGCATTTCTTTTTGGGGTAGTGCAAAACTTTTTGGGGTAATGGCTGTACAACATCATGAATGTAATCAATGTGACTGAATTGTTCACTAAATCTTAGTATCTGAATAGATTTGAGAGCTCACTTTGAAAGAATAGGAACTATCAGTTACAATAAAACTTCTGCTAAAAATATGAGAGTATCCTGCCTGATACTGTCTTCACATTAGAAAGGACACTGTGAAGAAACTAGTGGAAAAGCATACACCCTTCCCTACTTTTGGCCTGAGTTGATCTCTGACTGTGTGGAGGAGCAAAATGGAGAGGCCCATAGATATTTCAAAAATGACCTCCTTCTGTCAGGTGGACCCTTAGAGTATAATAGTCAAGGCTAAACAATTCAAGCAAGCTAATGTGTTGAAGTGGCCTCATATCCTAAAATATACTTTAATACCTATGACTTTATATTTTAAAACTACATAATACATTTACCATATTCTTTTGAAAATGTAGTACGACTACACTTGGGCACAGATAAACCACATTTTCCACTTTTCTCAGGTCAACTAGAATCTGATAGATTCTTATTAATGAGTGGTGGAAAGCCATCTAGGAAGTGTGGAATCCTTTCCAGTGGAAACAACCTTTTTTTCAATGAAGATGGCTTACGCATGTTGATGACACGAGACCTGGATTTGTCACATGCTAGGTAACACTGGAAACCCATATTGCAATATATAGTAGTAGACATATTCAAGTCAGAAAAAAAGCAGAGAGGTCTGAGGGATACAGCCTTCCCATAGATGTGCTTGGCATCTCTGGTCAAAGACCCGTGAAGACACAATGCACAAATTTGCTTGATAATTCCATCAGAAATGAAACATATCTAAGCAGTCAAATGCTAGTATCTGTTACTTCATCAGACTGAGATTGGGAAATAACAATATTTGATTTACTTTAACCTCAAAGAAATAATATGGCATCATCATTATTCACCTTCCACCCAACACTTTTCACTAGTACTTGGATTATGTGGAAATTATGTACATTTATTTCACCATCCTTAGTAAAAAGCTTAGTTGAAATGCAATCTATTCATTGCACCTCAGGCTATATTTTATCCTCAAGATAAAATAATTAATTTCATCTCCATTAGCAATTTTAGTTAAGAACATTGGAAGTGTAGCCTTGTTCTTCTTTACTTACTTAAAGCTTATCATTAATAGAAGAAGGAATTGCATTGTGAAAACTTCATAGATGCATATCCTCTAAAAGCATCTTTCCAAAGACTCACTCACATGTTCTAAGACGTCATTTTCTAAATTGAGCACAGTCACTCAGAAACAAACATTTTAAACTGGCTCAGAGGATTATGTCCTGTCAAGATGTGTATCTCTTGATCGTTTGATGAGCCAAAAACTTAACAAGGAAAATATAAAAAGCAATTTAGCATGTATAAAATGGAGCCCTGACCTATTTTTTCAAGTGAATAAAGAAATCATGTTTTTATTTTTTGAAATATTTCACACTATTTTCTAATACATCTTAATGTATTTATTCTTTCTCCTAAATCATTTATTGATTATAAATTGTATCACACTTCATAGAAAATACAGTTCTATCTATGAGATAAGTTTACACTTATAAAAAGAAACATTTTATTTATTTCATCCTTTAATACACATCATTTAATTTAATATTCTTTATTTCCGATTTGCACTAGCACCTGATTTCTCTAATTTAGAAATTAAGTTTTTCCAAATTAGTAATTCCAACATGATTTTTCTTAACTACCAGTAATTTGGTAGTTATAGTATCACTAAATTAATATAAGCATTTTCCCAAAAGTAGATAATATGACAAAAAGTTTTCTTTGTAAATAATTTTGTTCCTATAAGTGTAAACATCACTGTTTACAATTACCATGTATGTTTTCATTAATCCAATGTTAAAAGCTCCATTATATAGCTCAACTCAGTTACATGCTGTGTAGGATTTGCATATATTGACCTGAAAAATGCTCCATGTAAGATCCTAATTTTTTCAGCGCCATGAGATAAAGAGGGTAAATCATGAATAATGAATGGCTTTTTGTATGATACCAATAACATTTGCTATAAGTCCCAGTATATTTTTGATGTTTGGTATACATTCGTTATTGGATATGTATGGTTGGTTACTCATAATTTTATTCTACATTACCATTTAGTATAGTGGCCAGACCAGGTACCAACAGCTTGCCTGCCAAAGATAACACTTGAGCTAGTTTTCATTGGCACCCCAGCTGCTTGCTGCTGTTCTGTCCACTTCCCTGCCAGCTAGGAAAGCTGCCACTGGCTGGCCGCCACAGTTCTTGGTGGCAAGTATCATCCATCCCCAGACCTAGCAACAGTCAGAGGCTGGCACAGCCCACAACCAACAACAACCCACACTTATGCTTCCCTGCCCCTGGCACAAAAGATAGAAAAAGGCCCAGGCTTAACACACCTCTTCCCAAAGATGTCTGCCTTTTATAAGAGGTACTACAACTGCTGAATGTAAATGAATATGTCTCCAAAAGCAATCATGTGAGATCTGTAGAACTACTGGTGAACTCCAGGAATGGATGATTTTACTGATCATGTGGCATGATCCACAATAATTAAGTTCTTTTAGTTTCAAATACTAAGGGCTAGGGTCCAATTTGTCTTAAGTAGATGACAGCACACACTCTCAAACTTGAACAGCTTTTGAATTCCTCCCATCATCTTAAGAAGTAGCCTAGGGTTGCAACGGATGCACACTTCCCTCAGACTCTCTCTGAGGAGAGATTAGCTCTCTTTTACTTAAAAAAAGGAAAATCAAGCTTTGAAGTGATTGCTTTGGACATTCATTAAATCATCATATTCATTAAAATTATTCATTTCCTCATATTACCCTGGGAGCTTGTCTTGTGTTAACAATGTGGATTTCTTGTTGAAGTCTACAGTAATGTTTACTAATGTCAGATTCGTGCAGTTCTTCATGAGACTGGGATGTGGTAAAGGTGTTCCAGACCCCAGGAGCCAGCCTGTGCTTCTACAGTATTCTCTCAATGGTGGCCTCTCCTGGAGTCTTCTTCAAGAGTTCCTTTTCAGCAACTCCAGCAATGTGGGCAGGTACATTGCCCTGGAGATACCCTTGAAAGCCCGTTCCGTTTCTACTCGCCTGCGCTGGTGGCAGCCATCTGAAAATGGGCACTTCTACAGCCCTTGGGTTATCGACCAGGTCAGTCTCTTCAGTATTAACTATTTTAACTTTTGTCACTGGATCTGAATTTGGCCTTATGAAGCATTTAGTACAAACTCCTTGCTCAGTAGGGGAAGCCCAGGACAAATAGTTTAGTGACCTGCCTAAGGGCACACAGCTAGATTAGATATGGCTTTTAGCTTTCTTTCTCTCTCTAGTCCCTCAATTGCCTACGCCTATAAAAATAAGTGATCCAACAGAAGGCCTAGGTCCTGCTCATAGAAGATGCTGCCATATGGCTAGAGGGACTTTATCAAGCATGATACAAGGTTATAATTCTCTGAAAAGGAAAATGTGCAAATTAGCATTTGTGCCACATCCAGTTGTTCTCAAATCCTCTTTCCTAGCCTTTGAACAAAGAAAATAAATAAATAAATCTCCCAACATCTTTATGGACTGCTCTAAAGGATCTGCATACATAATAAAAAATGTGTATCAAATGGAACTCAAAGAACCTGTTAACAAATGGTAGAGCCCATGCAAAGAACTGGAACTGAAATGCCTCAGGGCACGGCTGTCCTTAAATAGAAATTTTACATGGAAAATAATCACATGCAAGCCAAATATTGCTTTCCCAGCTTGGAGACATGTAGTTTCCAAAGGCACAATTTGGCTTGTGAAAGCTGTGAATGGTTTTGTCAATCCTTTGATTTGTTTTCTGTAGCTTCTTGCCAGATCGGCAAGCAGACCACATAAACAAGAGCATTCTGGAAGCCCCTAACATTATGCTGGCTGTAGAGTGCCAGTTCTGAGCAGACTGACAGATAAAAACAAACAAACAAAGAGGACTGAACATCCCTGTACCTTAAAATCAAACTGAGAATTTGGGGTTTTATTTTTTCTTTATGCATTTCAGATACTTATTGGAGGAAATATTTCTGGTAATGCAGTCTTGGAAGATGATTTTACAACTCTGGATAGTAGAAAGTGGCTGCTTCACCCAGGAGGCACGAAGATGCCTGTGTGTGGCTCTACTGGAGATGCCCTGGTCTTCATTGAGAAGGCCAGCACTCGTTATGTGGTCACCACGACATTGCTGTGAATGAGGACTCTTTCCTACAGATTGATTTGCTGCCTCCTGCTCAGTCTCAGACTCTTGCTATGGTAAGTATTTAATGTCCAGAAGTGACACACACGTGTGCATTGGCCCTGGTAGCTGTCTCTGTTGTAAGACTGTTCAGAACCTCTGCTAAGTCCTTAATAGATACACAAGTACACTTTGAGTTCATGAAATATCCTTGAAAATATTGTGTAAATTGAGTATATTCTTAAAGATATTGTTGGTGAATTGAGTTTTACAAAATTATTTTTGAAAGCATAAAATGTGAACTTATTTTTAAAGCACATGTATATGAATACTTTATGCAGCAAATAATAATTACATAAATAATTGCAAATTCAGATTTTTGTAGTATCAGACTTGCAGAATAAAGGATACACTTTGTTGGTTTTCTTTTTTTTTATTGTTTTATTATTCATATGTGCAACTAATGCTTTGGGTCATTTCTCCTCCCTACTTCCCACCACCTTCGTTGTTTTTTCCATTCAGGACTCTTGTCATATCGAGAGCTAGAGATGAAGAATATGATTTACACATATGCTTATATATTCATGGATTTTTTAAATCACAGAGCCTTGATTTAGTTCACTTACTGTCTCCTTTCCATATCCTGAAGAATCAT